AAGCTTTCATGTTGTCTTCACAAGATGCCACCTTGCTTTATGATGTCTTCAAGATAAATAAGCTTGTCTTTTTTGAGAGTTTGAGAAATTGCGAATTTTAAGGAGATATTTTAAAAGCTTTTTTAAGCACTATACGCTAGTTTTAGGCTGATAACGATTAACAAGTAAATAAATTATTGTTTGTGTTTTAATTCTAAAGAAATATTAAATTACGTAAATCACACAACTTACCACATTTTTTAATTTTAGAAACGTTAGAAGTCTTTTCTATATGCTTGTATGTAATTTTATTTTTATACGTTTGTGTATAAACATTAGTTTTTATTCTCTGTTCTTTGTAAACTACTGTAACGTTAATATTATCACTACAAGAGTATTTCAAAATCATTGGCAACGAAATACTGACGTAACGAATGTGTTGCAAATTATTGGAGAACCAGCGCAGTTTTCCTTTCCTTTCATTCCTTTGCTGCGTTGTGTGTGCTTCCTTTCTCTTCTTTTCTTTCCTTTTTGTCAGAGAAACACGAATAGCAGTATAGCGTGCGTGATTTATGATGAAAATAAATATCTATTAATATATCGACTGGTATACATCGTTCATTTTTCCAATACCATGATGGTCCAGATAGAAAACACATTCAATGGATTTTAGAAAAATTATTGTGTGCTCTTATTTTAAATATAATAAACACGCGCGAAGATAAAGAAAGCAAAATCGAATTTATATGAAAACACTATATGCGTTTCTTTGAAAAAGAAAAGAAAAGAAAGCATACAATGTAACAAAGGAATGAAAAAGCTTTGACGAAAAAGCTTCAAGTATAGGTCATTTTATTTTTTCGCACGTTCTTTTATACAAATATGTACTTTGAACAACAATTTAAAGTAAATTCTTCTTGAACATGATCTGGAAATATTAGATAGAATAGATCAAGATTTTTTAAAATTAAATGCTTTATTAAATATGCAAATATTTAAGATTGTAATCTCTTTTAAATTATTTATTTTAATGCAATTTTAATCAATCAGGTCAGTAAACATTTAAAGTTAAACTTCAACATGTTACCAAAAAAAATCAAATGAAAAAATGTTGTATTGAGACAGTACAATATATAATATTATTTCTCTTCTTTAACATAAACGTTTGATAATGTTATACTAGGAATGCACTCGGTGAACTGTGCATCACACAAAGTACTTTCGAATTTGAAAAGCTTTACACATGCAAATCAGTATGTAATGCTTTTTCCAATAATTTGAATATGGTACTACCAGGATTGTCGAACTACAATCCATTTTATTGAGACATTAATAATAACAGTATTCGTTAAATTAATAATATTAGTTAAATTTTGCAACTAAATTGTACAGAATACTATATAAATAAAAACTACATGTGTTCATTATGAAGATGAAAGATAATAAATATAAGCAAATAAATATTAAGCAAATAAGTAAATATATTATATTTTAATAAATAAATATATTAAATAAGTATATTTCTATTTAATAATATATTAAGTAAAATTATTTAGACATACTTATGGATACTCTAACATTAAAGCAATTTCCTAGAGAGTATAATATGTGTGTGTGTGATTCTCAGAATATAAATAAACAATTGAAACAATATGAAATTATAAAACATTAGAACAAAATTTTGAAATCTAAGAATAATTTACATTCAAAAATATTTTTAGCGGAAAAAATATCCTATTTCCTTCAAGTGGTAAAATTTCGAAAAGTACAACTAAATTTGCAATTTCCTTTCATATCTTCATAAGTGAGAAATGTCTCAAAATCAGCATCATTATGTAATAGTTCACTTACTAGCAAATAGCTACGAATCATTGCTATTATTACGCTATGGTTCCGGATATTTCATTGAATGTGTCTGGATTATTCATCTTGCGAAGATCAGATTCATTTGTAAGCGATCATAGCTAATTTTGTTCGATCCCATAAATAAAAGTAATAAAGTTAAACGTTTAACATAAATTTTATTTTTATTTCTATCAAATGTATATATATATATATATATGAAAATTTGATTACTATCTCGAAATTAAATTGTATGATATGTTTAACTAAAACGGAAACCAATCGTAGTTTTATAAATCACAATATCTTGGTTTATTTTTCAGCAATTTACTCCAATTCTGTTGTTTAACCATTTCGACCGTTTGAATTTTATGATATTGCGATAAATCTTTTTATAGAAGAATATAATGTTCAAATTTCGCTTCCAATTAAGTATTTCGATAGCGCGTTCCATGATATCGATAGTCCAGCTATGGCTTGATCGCATCTCTAATTGAATTATCCGAGATTTACACAGGCAAAGTTCATGCATTCGAGGGAAGAACATTTCTGGTTAAACCATAATAAAATATAAAGAAAAAAAAAGAAAAGGAATATTCAAAAGAGAGAGAGAGAAAAAAAGAGAAAAAAGGACTAAAATATAAAATTATAACTAAAAAATAATAACGTAAAAAAGAAAATTATCAATCAGTTCACGATTAATTGACAAGTGCAAATTAAAGTAAAACTTTTAGTAAATCAATACCTTCTTAAATCAATATCTTTTTAAAAAAATATATGCAGAATTATTTTTGTTTCTTAAAGTGCACAAATTAATGCAAACAATGGTACTGTCGTGATTTGCAAAAAAACAACACGACGACGCTCGACGTATTCTAATTTTGTACTCCGGGGCAGGATTTATAACGCTGCGATTCTTTTCCGTCCCTATGTTTCCGCGATACAAAAAAAATTTTTGCATCTGAAACTACCCGGAGAATGCGACTATAAAAATTACGCACTAACTTATAGCATTATAATATAAATTGCATGCGCAATGTGGCGAGAGATACATGTATTGCTCGATTACATTTATAACTCGAATGGATAAATGTACGATGGAAATAATATTCTACTATCATCGGAGAGCAGCAGGAATTCGTGATAAAATATACTTGAAATAAAAGATCATTTATTTCGAGAAATTTATTTCATAAAAATATAGAATTCTATTTCTGTGTTTCCAAAAATTTACGTGACGTTCAAAAATATATTGCCTTTTTTTGTAAATTTTAAAGCCAAGTTTTGTCTGCTTACACCAATTGATCTGGAACTCAAAAGCCAACAATTTATAATTTCTGTCAGGCGGATTCTTGTCGTAAAATCAATAGCAAGCACGGTAACGCCCATTTTTGAGTTGAGTTCTCTTCGCAATTCCCCTTTCAAACGAAATTCTGCTATGGCATGTAGCCAATATTCCAAGTTGGATCGATTGTAAGATATCGCAAATTTTGCGAAAATCAGTTTAATCATTTCTGCGAAATATATATCTCCGAACAATAAAATATACATTAATAATATAGATAATTTTTTTATTTAATTTTATTTTTGTATTTCATTAAAAATCATAAAATTTTGTTTTCCTGGAATAAACAAAATCTGAAAGGAGAGTACTTAATAATAAGAAAAACAATTTATATACATATATGCTATTTATTTTCGTTTTCCAAGTAAAAATAAATTTTATTTCTTTAAATAAATTTACATCTCAATAAAAATTATAACATGTTAGAATTGGAATTTAATACAATATATCGACAATAATCTTTTAATTAAGTACATGTATTAAGTTTCGCCGTCAAATATATAAACGAAATTAATTTATCTTACATGACATTAACACACTGAGAGAACAAAACATAGCTGTAATTATCATAATTATAGTAATTTTTGGCGATAGCTGTATTTATTATTACGCATAAGGCTATGACAATATTATTGCCAATATTAGCAATAATAATTATTATTATCTTTTTCATTGTACAATTAGTCGATGCCTTTTCTCGGTTTCTCATGTTTAAAAATCAGGCACAAAATGTAAAAATGATAATAAATCATTTATTGAAATACTGATTTTTAAAACGCGAGGGAAAACAAAATTATACTCGGCGTATTTTATACTTTGTAATACGTGAAAATATTTCGCAGCGGGAGGCAAGGCGACACACATACCCACACACACACATTGTGGTCGCGCTCGGTATTTGTTTACTTTCACGCACAGGGCGGTAGAATGGTCGCGGTAACCTCGCTGTCATTCGCAAGGTGAGAGCCGAGCCGACAAGTCGCTCGGTGCGTGTCGTCGCGTTATTATTTCGTAATTATATTCACGAGCACCCCACGAGCGTGATTATCAAACCGCGCGTTTAATCCACTTTCTGTATCGATGATTCGTAATTTCGAGACGCCGGATACGCGCGATTTACTCGTCCGAAATAAGGATATCTCCGCGATAGATACAATAATAATTGCAAAGCGATAAATCATTGTTACGCTTTGGTAATTATTTCTCCACAATGTTTGATTAGATTATACTCTATTTCGAGCTTTTCGATTATTTAAATGTAACTCTCAATTAGAGAGAGAACGAAGTAAAGCGCGCGAATCGGGGCACCGGATCGAGTGATTTGATTAACAGAAAATCGCGGAATATCGGCTTTTTTTTATTAATGACGTGCTTAGTAAAATTATTGCTGTATTGAAAAATGCATTCGCGTCGAGTACCGAATTACGAGTATACATTTCCGCGCGTCTTGATTAACCATCAATTCGACTTGTGTAGTGTCGGCGCGACACTAGGGTGAAGTTGCCGTCGATCATACATCCGACATTTTCGCTCATTAAGGGAGCATCGCGCGTACGGGACGGATCGACCGCCAATCGAGTGGTATTGATTAGTAAGTATAATCTAATTAGCTCTGCGTTTTAACATCTGTCAACTGTCGGTGTAGCATAAACGCAGCTTTTGTACCTCGTCCATTCGTTACGACGCGTATTTCGCGAAATTATCCGATCGAAATCCACCGCGCGCAACCGACATATTGCAATTCAAATTCCGGACATTTAGCTTCAATTTCAGCTCACGCATTAACTGTATCCTTTAAAATTCGAATCTATTTGTTATTTGTGTTTATTTACAGTGCGGAGAATGAAAGTAGGACCAGAAGGAACAACACTCGCCGATTTACGAGACAAATTGACCGTCCGATTATCGGATTTTCTTTACCGCTCGAAAGATATTGGTTGTGTTAACATTCACGTGAGATGTCGCGGACGTTCAATAAATCGCGTCGATCGCGTATTCTTCTCGTCCCAATGTAATAAAGTGCGTGTCGCGTACGGGAGTGTCGTTTAAAGTGCCGTGCGATCGTACTTAACCTCATTTCCGCGATGCGCGCGCGCGCGTGTGTGTCAGCTGAGCGAGAGCACTGACAGTCGAGGAGGAAGAGGAGGAGGAGGAGGAGGATGCATCGAGCAACAGCAGGACAACCACTTTTTTCGGTGAGTGTGTGTTAAATCATTTTTTATTTTTAAATATATGAATACGAATTACGTGTCTGGATAAAATCAACGTGCCTTGCACACATTCGTGTTATGAATAATAGATGACAGATCGGTGCACACGTATATTGGAAGGCGCGCTTTACGTATGTGTATGTCATTAGCATAAGAACTTTAATACTTATCGTAATCTCGACAGCTTCGTATATTAAACTTATTTAAATTACACGCATCGAACATTTATTTGCTCAATCATATGCTTGTAAAGAAAAGTAGTAGAGACGTAAAAGATGAAGATAAATTTAGATAAGATAGATTTTAGATAAAATAATTATAGATAATTACAGATGAAAACGTAGAAGTTGATGTACATATACACAGAAGTAAAAACTAAGGCTGAAAGATTCTTTTTGAATGCAATCTGCAATTTCGATTCGTGAAAGATAATCAGCTAGTTAATGCAAATATTTGCGAGACATGTATGTTTGACTCTCTCTCTTAATATGGAATTTCCACATCGACGAAATTGTTTCTGCCCATGATCTCTGCCGTTTTATAATGATGTCTCTCGCAAAATTCTTGAATCCTTTGACAAGCTTCCTCGAGCATGTTGTCTGGTACAGTGATTACCAGTCTCATGTAAGAGGGATAATCAAAGCACTGGGGAATTAAGCGGGAAAGTTCAATAAAATTACATTACATTTTTAAAAAGCTGTTTTCTTTTACACTAACGCGTTTGTTTGTAGTAAAAACTAGTTTTTCTTTAAATAAACTATTAAAAAACATAATAAAAACATGAAAAATTGCGATTTTATCCTAATAAATTAAAAAAATAGACGTATTTATATAAATTAAATTATAAAATTAAATTATATTCTTATTAAATTAATATTATTATTAATATATGTCTAAATGTATGAATTTTGTAATATAAGTACCCAATATAATTTTAATAATATAATTTTCATTTTCGTTTTTAATTTTTTTTTTTAATTTTATTTTTTGTTATATATAATATTTATCTCTCTCTTTTCTTATATTTTTAAATTTTTTTGTAATGTTATTATTATATAATTAGAGAATTTTTTTTCTTGAATGAAGCTATCTTTATCTTATTTTATTTTTAATAACACATAATTAAAATATTTCATATTTTTTATATTAAATGAAAGAGAGATGTAAAGCAAGCTCAATTCAAGATTTATTGATAAATAAATCATTTTTGAAATTATCGCTTAAACATTTAATCATCCGTCTAAAATTACTGCAATAAATTTGTAAAACAAATTTATTGCAGTTATTGTATTATATAATTTAATATATTAAAAATATTTAAATGAAATACTTTGCATTCACATTAATTATTAAAAAGAATTTATATTGAAATATTCATGCGACACGTAAATTATCGTTGCAAAGTGATGTTTTGATATTTTACGATTTTTTAAATGTCAGCATTAAAAATATCGACATATCACAAAATATAATTTAAAAAGCTTTGGTATCTTTATATATATATATATATATATATATATATATATATATATATATGTGTGTGTGTGTACGAATTTGTGAGATGATAATTTAGAATTAAAAATGGCCGATTAATAATTTAAACATCAGAAACACGAACCTGGCCTGGTAGGCAGAATACGGATTCTTCCATTAGCAGTCGCTGTACGAATTCCAGGTCGGAATTAAATTCTGGAAAACCTAGTAGATCGATGTAGACCTAGAAATCGATTTAATAATTTATAACTCGTAAATTATAGTCAGTCTACCTTGCTGATGGTATTTGTGCATAAAGTATAAATGGTGGTTATGCACCGGCTAATTGTACGACCTATTTATCGGGCACTCAATTAACATTTACTGCTTTATACCCGCAAGCTACGGGTTGTCAAACAATATATGATTCTTGGAATTATGCAAGGGTGTGACCGAGTCAATTTCAACGGAAATTATTACCATCATATACATGGCTCCATCCGGCATTATCGGCTTTAGGCCCGGAATCTTGACTACGCAGTTGTATGCCAATTTGGAATTCGACTATAACATTGCGAATTTTGTAAAAAAATATTTCAATTTACGTGTCTATTATATTTTTAAATCGAGGAAACTTACGTATAAAATATCGATAACATCGTCGAAGAAGTTTTGCGGTGTTTGACGAAGTATTGCCGGTAAAGCACCTTGAACGATAGTATTGCTGCCAATTATCCGTTGACTTAGGCAATGCAGACCTTTGCGAATCTGAACAGTAATAAAGAGACATTAAAAATTTATTACGTCTGGACATATATTGATTTTATATATATAAATTTACTTACTTATTATTTTACTATGCTTTATTGTTGGTAAAATAATAAAATATAAAACAAACTTTTGAAAGAATATGATTTATACAGGAAAGATTATACGTCAGGCTGTCTTGTAAATATGAACAGACGTAGAAACTCTCAAAAGCGAGTTCGAGCTTAGATATGTCAAATTCCGTATAAAATCACTTCTCAAGATTTGATAGTATTTCTCACAGACTTCGAATATTGTGAAACATCAAACACGCCGTGAACCGACAGATATTTACCAGCTTTTGCAATATTCGCCTATCAGAAAGCATTATCAAAAAGAGTCACACAATCGATTTTTTCTTTTAAAATAATATGGTGTAGAGAAAAGAGAAAGAGTGTATATATGTTGCAAAAAAAGGAAAAAGAAATTAATTGCTTTTCATATATTCCGTTTTTAGATATATTTAAAAAATTTAATTTGAAAGTTATTTGACAAATTTTGTTACAAAATTATAAAACATGTAGCAATAAGAGAAAAATTCTGTAAGTTAAAATATCTTGCATAAAAATTTTTATACGATACCTAAGCAATATACGCGTGAATAAAACTTTTCAATTGGGTTTTCTCTGAGAATTCTTATTTTGATTACCTGAGATGGCGAAATGACTTGCAAAAGTTATTAAAGAACATAAATATATATTCAGTGATGTTACGCGATACGGTGATTCAAAGTTTGTCCAAAGGCGGTGCACCTTTGCATGGAAATAAAGATACGATTGGGGGCAGTTGCCGAAGAACCGAACTTTCATAGCAGAATAAAGTTTAATCAACGAAATTTAATCAAATCCAGTGCCGAACTCGCCGCGATATGCCCGGTCTCGTTACGGAAACAATGCTGCCAGAGAAGCAATTATTTTCGAACTGTCACGTATTGTGCCAGTACCGTTTACTCACCTCGGTTTCGAATACATTTTGACGATCGTGGATTATTATCCATCCCATACGCCAGCCTGGAACCAGAAATCTGAAAAAAAAATGAACAAAATACGACCATCTGTCATTAGATTCCATTTCACCGATTACCGTCAAGGTTGCTTTACTTTTTAAAAATAATTTTGTATCACAAAAAAAATTTTTAAATTAAAAATAAAATTCTTTTCTGTACAAATAATTGTACACAATTAATAACTTGAGTCATGAATTTTAATTTTAAAGTTTGCGCAGAGAACTCATTATTTATTTATATTCCCTTAAATGTTATTCAAAATTATTGGGAAAGAAATGATTTTAATATAATGTAAAGCTCGCTTGTTGCGATAGAAAGTTGCAAAATCCAAAACATAAGTTTTCATACAATAACAAGAGCTGTTTTTTATTATGATATGCAATTCCATTATAGTATAAGGCAATTATTTTTACAATTACAAAAAATTTAGCGTGCACCGCAAATTCAATATATAAAACGTACATCCTTTATTCTCCAAGATAATTTTTTATCTTGGAGATAATCTTATCTTTATTTGAATGTGTGGAAGAGAGACTTAAATCATAATTATATATATTAATCTGCTATTGTATGAATACGCGATCCAACAATAATTCTATATTCTCATTTTCACATTGATTTTACAAGCAGTTATTTTCCTCTTTTTTCTGATTTTTTTTCTCATTAATACGAATATTACTGTGTTAAATAAAAGAAGCATTTGCAATTCACGTTTAATTAATTTATTTGAAGTGAATCAGAGTTATTCATGTGCAGTAAATTATTATGTAATAATTTTATAAAATGTATAAAAATGCTTTGAGAAAAATTCAATTGATTTTGATTATAAAATATTCATTTTGATATATCAAAGTATTATATAGTACAATTAGCATTACATGACAATTAATTCATAGTTGTGTATATAATTTGTCTGTTATTATTAAATTATAGCATATTTGTGTAATATATCCGTTCATACATTATTTGCCTTATTATTTTGTTTTTATTTCATATTCAAACATACATATGTATATCGTTGAATTTCGTCTGAAAAACATGATTTATCTTTAATAACGAAATACTGCACTGCAAAATCTGTGGCATGTAAAATACAGTGTACATTTCTACAATGAAAAACTTAGCAGCAACTCATTTACAACTGGTATAGCGATCGTAAATTAAGTTGCGTTTCAAATCTGATACCGTCAGAAGCATAATCACGAACCCGCGGAATATCATCCTTTCGGCTTTAATCGTGAACGTTTTATTCATGCTCAATCAAACATCGTCTTATTTTCGAAAATTGGACGAAAAATTTTACAGTGAAACGCTTTTGCTTCTAAGGAATCTTTTCGTCAACTTCACGAATCATTAGTTTTACAACATGCTTTCGCGATGAAAGAAAATAATAGGAGGAAATGTGCTGAAAATAAGTAAAAACTTTAGAAAAAATATTTTTTAGCGATTATCACTGTATTTAATATTGAAAGCAATTATTACAAATATATGTTTATAAAAAATATGTTTTTTTCCCGAAGGAATATTTAGATTAAAAAATTTTTTTAATTCTTGATTTTGAACGCGTTTTTCATAAATCAAATATTGAAATTTTATACCGCGAAAATTTTTATATTTCATTTTACATGTCGACTCCCTTAATTATTTTTGATTTTTCTCTTGGTTTTTTAAATGTACAATATGGCATTGTTTGAAGAGGTAGATTAGCTAATCGGTCGTTTTATTTAATACGCGAAAATTACACATTAAGTTTGCGCGCAAAAATCCTAGAATGTTACGTAAAAATCTTGCGCCGTCGTGTTTCAGCTCGAAATACGGGAGTTTTACAGTCACTTCACGTTCCAACATACCTTTTAGTCAGTCCGCTGCACGACAAAATAGGAACTTCGGTCGATAGAGACGCTAACGAGTGGAAAGTCCGTCCTGGAAATACCTGAAAACAGCGGAGAGGCGAAAAATGTATTTGCGCATAATAGGCACGTATGTTTCACCTGTATGTGACGCAAAATAACGCAAAACCGTGACAGCCAGACATTACTTTGTCTCATTGAATTTTTCAAAAAACGCTACTACCGTTACACATCACGTAAATAGAATATTGTGTGCGAGTACTTTTACGTTTTAAATTATAATAATAAAATTTAAATTATGACAAAAATTCATGAAATTTTTTATAAATCATATTATTAAAGTATAATTAAATAAATGTCGTATAATACGAAAAAAAAAATTCTTTTTCTAACTCATTAAAAAACGATGAGAATATTAATAAAATCAAATATAAATTTTTTTTATGATTAAAATTTTATTATGAAATTATTATAAAACTTAAGCATATTCCTTTCGATTAGATTACAATTAATCGTCGTATATGTATTATAAGTAAAAATTCTTCTCTTGACGCGATAACGAAGTGTAGCGCGATCTTTCCGGATTTCGGGCACCGGATTTTGCATATTTGTTCTGAATTAATTGCGCATCCCCTTCGAACAAAAGGACGCGGCGCGCGCTTTATTTCGGCGCTCGCAAATGAAACGATTTGTCACTTGATACTTGTGGGAGAAGCGTAATATTCGGGCACGTACCATGTGCTCGTAAATCTCATCGGCTATAATAGGTACGTAATAACGAGCGGCGACATCGAGAATGTCAAGTATATGGTCGCGACTGAACACAGAGCCGCACGGATTCGAAGGATTGTTTATAACAATCGCCGCCGTCGACTCGTCGATTTGCGCCTCCAGGTCGTTTAGATCGATCTCCCAACCGAGTTCCGGCTGAAACGAACGATTAATATTAATAGGATGCATTCGTGAGTGGCCCTCTCCCTCCCCTTCCTCTCTTCATCCTCTCTTTCTTATAACGTACAAGGTGTCTCGGAAAATAGCGTGCTTTTTCTATATAGATTATTCGACAATTTGAGATTTTTTTGGGATTCAAATTTTACTGTAATTTTAGAATATTTAGGTCAATTTTAGCAATTTTTTTTACAAGTACACGTTAATCAAAATTTGATATTTTTTGGCAAAATTATATCGTGCTAAATTAAAACAATTTATGATCTCGAATTGCTTTGGGTAAATGTATGATTTTTCAGATAAAATAATATTTGGAGATATATATTTAATAGAAATAAAATAAATAAATATAGGAGCGAAAAAGCGAAAAAGGATGTACAACAATGAAATTGCTCCAGAATATTTACACAGATTTCAAAGAATTTTACTTTTATGAGCGACAATGTTTATCCGATTCACTAATGTATGACGTGCGACAAAATGCGTGGCATAGAATGGCTTACAAATTCTTTGCACATTTCGCTTTATCGACAAAAAACTACGGCATTACGGTTGTAAATTACTTCTTAGGAAAGTAAAATACTTCCCAACATAGCAAAAGCGGGCGAGATGTTAAAACTTGTCAGTAAACGAAATTGAAAAGAGTGGAAACTACTTCATTAACTTGGATTCAATATTGAGGAATTTCTGAAAGCGTAGATGTTTTATCATAATGAAAAATGATTTAAATATGATTGCGTATCTTTTAAAATCATTATACATATAATACAATTGGCTCTAAATTTCACATAATTACTTTGCGGAAGAAATGATATCTTTGCAAAATCTAAAATTAATAAAATTTTTTGAAATTATGAAATTATTTAATATTAAAAATAAAATTTATAGAGCAAGCGAAATAAGGATGAGTAAAAATATCCGCCATTTAATTGTTATTACAAACTACACCTGAGATTTTACTTGAAAAAAATTTCCGGCAGGAAATGAAAGTTTTAAATATTAATTTTTACTTCTTGGTACATCTCTGGAAAATGTGTATAATTGATGTAGCTAAATTTCGTCTATAATTTGACCTCATACATTAAACAGTGCATTCATTTTTTGTGACATTCACGATTTACAGATGGTCAGTAAATTTAAAGATATTAACAAAATATTTTTGCATATAAAGCCATATGCTAAGCTTGATTGTCTCTCTTGCAATACGTTTTGTAATAATGCGTAACTTAAGAAATATGACGGTCGCCTGTTATGCACATTTCTTATTAATGACGATGCAATACGGTAACGTGTAATACTACCTTCTCTTTTACAGGCGTGATTATTACAGAGTAGCGCTGTTGGTACTGTGGTATCGATCAATATTTTGTACATTATCACGGGAATATGAAGCAAGAGTGTTCATTACGTTGTTTGTTATCTATATAATTTAGTGCATTTAATGCATATTAAACAAATCAATTCTAAAACGATTTGAAATTTTAAAAGTTAATAAATTTTTTAACCGTTTATAGAATAATATAATTTAAAAAATTTACTTATTTAATAATTTCTCTTTTTAAAATTGTTATATTCTTATAAGCAAATGAATGACTCTTTGAAGAAAAAGACTTTTACGTAAGAAAGAAGAAAAATACCTTTTCTTCGAAACAGTCGTCATATTTGCATTTGAAATATTCGATAAAAAAATTTTTATATGTATATAATGTTTAAATTATACGAATACAATTATGTATTATAAATTTTAAATTATCCATATGACACCTTACAATTAGTCAAACACGTGGCTCACGTTTTTTTGATTCGTCATTATTCAGAAGCAAGGCTGAAAGTCAGTAGTTGTCATACTAAATTGATATATTTTATTATATTGAAATTTCACTTATGTAAATGACATAATTTGTTCTCAAAATTGTTTAGCATCAAGGGAATATTGATTAAAGCGAGTCACGTTTAAAGCTGTATGTTTAAAATAATATTTACTCGTATGTTGAAATTGATATCGAATATAACACAATATATATCCATGTATAAAATACATATACATGTTTAATATTTATTATTGCAATCTTTATTATTAAATCTTTATTATTAGATATATTTTGCTGCATAAAAGACTTTGATTCTCTTTTCCGAAGATAAATACTCACACGTAAGTCGTACGATTTAACCATAATACCAAGACCTTCTGCCAATGTTCGATAGATCGAAAATCCGGGACGTGGAATTAGGATGTTTTGGCCCTCTCGAGCTAAAGCCGTGATACACAAGTCAAGTGCACAAGAACATCCACTGCACAGGATTACATCCTAGAGTAAATATAGAAATATGAAATAGATTATTTATATGTCGCTTTTATTCGCGTCGTAAAAAATGTGCAGTAAAAATAAATATAACTTTTTTCATGATAACATTTTTCGTTATTTTCATACTTTCTACATTTTCTCCATATTTTTTAAAGAATTCGATATATTTTGATGAATTTTTCGGTGTTGTATTAAAATTAAAAAATTATGTACGAAATTTAAAAAACTGGAAGATTTGAGAGAAAGAGAGAGAGAGAGAGAGATGGATACAAGAGAATTATTCACAAGAATTTCACTACAGAAAAATACACTGCATGTGTAATATTTATATGCAAATCATAATTGTATATCACGAATATGAAAGGATACGACTAAAAATTCTCCAAAAAGACATATTATTTTCTGTTTGTAAGTTTAATTTACACACACACACTCTGTCTTCCTGTCTCTCTCTCTCTCTCTTTTCTTTTCTTTTTCTCAATGTTATCCGATAATATAATAAACGTTTTAGAATATTTTATATTTGCTCGGACAAAAAATTCATAAATCATTTATGAAATTAAAAACTGATCTGATCATTCGTTTTCAATGTTTTTTGCATCGTTTTATCGATGTATCTCTTTTTCTATCTGCGTCTGCGATTTCCATCTCGCGAGATTTCACAGCGCCAAGTTAATTAACTATCCTCGAGATTGTACGACTGCTCGGAATATACAATACAATCGACCTCGTCACGGAAATAATCCTTGTAATACCTAAATCGTCTTTTCCTTTTTCCACGGTTGGAAGAAATATTTACAGTTTTCTCGCGTCCAAGACTGTTATTAATATTCAAATAACTTTGGCAATTTTAGCTCTCTATTCTTTCTGTTGAATAAATAACTATAAAAAATCGTTGAATAAAATACGACCGTATACACGTGACACGAAACCTCGGTGTATGCGTCAGTAACTTGAAATTTGTTCGCGACACGTGTTGGCCGATCTGTCATCGATATTCGATAAAAGCACGTGTTGATCGTACCTTGGGATCGACTTTTACGAACTCGTTTGAGCTGTACTCAGCTACAGCTTCCCGTGCCCTTTGATAACCTGTGCATAATGAATAAGTCACAAAATCAATTTTTTGCATCTTGAAATAAACATAATTAATACTTAGTTTATAATCTGTAATGTTAATATATATTTCCTTATAAAATATATAACTAATAATTTACATTATAAAGATAAATATATATTGTTTATACATTTAATATTTCATGAATAGACCACATGACATATATATATATATATATATATATATATATAATTATTAATTATTTTTTATACATATAAAAATAATTTATATATATTTATTTTTAAAAATGGTTATATAATAGTGGAATATTCAAATTTCTATGTTAATTATTAATTTTACAGATTTATTTTTCATAATTCCTCTCGTAAATTAAAGATTAAATTAAATTACGATTTAATTAAACTTGTACATCTTTAAAAAATTACCTATGGTCGGTGCATATCCGTTATACAATTGTGAAGCTACGCTCTCTTGAACAGCCTCGATCACCTCCTTTGGCGGCTTCAAATTGCCAAAAGTTGTAGGATCGCCTTCAAAATAGTAGAATAATACACTGTGATAATACGATAAAATATGTGAGGCTTGTTTAAAAAAACTCCATAAATATCTATCGCGCGATTATTAGCATAAGCCACTAATTGTAAGTCTAGATTGCTGCTTACATAACATTTGCCACTATAGTTTCACATAATATAATACATAGCTAATCACGCGTATGTGTGCCGCTTGTAATTGATTACTAAATTCCAACTAGCATAACCGTAAGATGTTTACAGACGCGTTGTCAAAGTGTAACGAAACAGCCACTACTCGGTTAGCATTCTGGATATATTGTAATGGGAACTAATTAATTGTTTGCAGCGGACTACGCGTCATAGTCAATCCTTGTTACGAAATTTCTATCATGAAGCAGTAACGCGATGAAATAAAATTCGAGCTCGACGAGCGGAAATTTATGTAATTAGAACTTCGTCGTCGTTAAGTAGGAAGAATCATGTTTCGACAATGTTGGAGTTAACATTTTCCAATATTATGTTTCACATTTCTATAACAGTCGATATCAATTAATATTGTATAATATAAACGTTGAAATCTCTTTGACAGAAATGTCAAGGAATAATATATATTTATTATATTATTATTATAATTAATGTTAATAATAATTTATAATAAATATTATGATTAATATATATTATAAATTACATACATATTATAAATATTACGACATATAGAAAGTCTGAAATAATTATTTTTACTAATTTCAATTAATTTAGTTCGTACATACATATTATCTCATACTACACATGTGGAAAATATTCTACATATAATATGAAGTTTCTATCAGGTTGATTAAATACATAGTTTCTATCATTTAAGTGTGGATTTCAAAAATAATATGGTATGAATATTATAATAAACAGGAAAAAAATGTAATAATATTTCTTGTTTTTTCGCGTCGATTTTTTTAGCATGTTATAAAACTTATGAATCGGTTTCAGAATATTTTGGAGCAGAGCCATACACCAAAATTTTACCAAGAGTGACGTACGAAACATATATATATATATATATATATATATATATATATATATATATATATATATATACATCAGAACGTACTCTATCTTTTGGTTAAAAAAAGTTTCATAAAAAGGCTGTCATTTTCGCTCAAAATTGTTTGAATATTTTATCTTTTCTACTAAAAAAGATTAAAAATATTTTTAAAAAACCTTGTTGCTAATTGCTAATTTCGGTTTAATATATTAAACCTTAATTATACCTTTCGCTTTATTCATTTTATAAAAGTAAAATAGCAGTTTTTAAAAATTTTTATGATGTTGCTATTCCATTTTCCGACGTTGTAATCTTCTTCAAATTACATATATGTGAAAAACTACATAGAATAAAGGAAAGCTCTTGCAAATATATATAGTCGCTAGTACATCCGGAATAAGATTTGTATCGAAATATATTTAGATATATTTAGATTAGTGTGTTCATGTGTCAGTTCTATTTTGTTTCAGTATGAAATTTGGTGAGGACATTTTTCCAATACATTCTGACACATCCGTATTTTGCATCACTCGTATGTTGCAAATATTAAGAGGGCTCATGCGTCACTATCATTTTAACTTTTTAAAGCCTTTTAACTTTTCACCAGTTTTATGAAACTCTATGTCAGATAGTTAAAATTGCGTATCTTCGCATGAAAAGTTTGAGAACTTCCTAAAGAATTAAAACAAAATATACAATTTAATTCAAGATAAAAATTCTTGAGATGCTCCAATTTTACGTACGTAACTTTTAAAAAATAGTTTTATATTCTCTTTCTAATGAAATACTGGGAAAAAATAATTTGCAAGATAATAAATTAAAAATTTAAAAAACAAATTTTAATTTGCTTTTTAAATTTTTAATTAATTATTTTGCAAATTATTTTTTCCCAGTATTTTTATTAATTAAAAATTTAAAAAACAAATTTTAATTTGCTTTATAGGTTTTCAATATTTTCTCTCAGTATTTTATTAAATATTGGGTTATTAGTTAAGTTTCTCTCTTTTAATATGAAATCGAAATATAGAATCAAAAAATTTAATATAAAATCAAAAATTCTCTCAAAATTTGCATCCAAAATCTATTAAAGCTGATATAATATAAGGATGTTCAATTTTCATGTTACTTATTATAAAAAAAAAACATTATATTCTATCTACATGTTTATCTTCTAATTTCATTAGTGCACCTAATTGTTTTGAATTGCACAACATGAAAAGATTTCCAATATTAATAGCTTTTTTCTTAGGCGTCGCAGGAATTTGATTGAGCCAAGTATATTGGAATTAGTTTACTGCTTGAGAAGTTTTTATCCGATAAACTTTCAAAAAAGTTCTTCTAGAAATGCAGCAGAATCGGCAAACGAAATATTGTCTATCTGCACCGCGTGTCTGCGTATCAATATTTTGCAGAGCGAACTGTATATTAAGTTTCAATACTTTCGAACAGGGAGGAGAAGAAAGCTGGAGATCTTACGGAGGTCGAAGTTAATTTCGCCTTTTTTCTCTTTTAATCAGATTATGAAAAAGAACAAAATATAGTATATATTAGCATGAAAAGTTTTATTTCTTATTAAACAAGCGAGATATTAATTTAATATAATTAAGATAAAATTGTGCACGTTTATTAATTTAATATAATTAAGATAAAATTGTGCACGTGTTATCGAAATGTTGAAAATTTTTCTCAACAATTCATAAACAAAGAATTAAACGCCGCCGGGAGTATCACACGTGTCTCACAAATTTATGAAAAATCATTGATCATAGTGCTCGTTCACACCAAAAAGCATATAATAGATAGCATATCCATATTTTATTTCAATATCTTTACACTGATATGGTTCACTCTATATAAGTCTAACAATATTAAATTTATTGTAATAATATTTTTTGTGATAAAAGAAAAAATATTTGTATGTAATAAAAGAGATTACAACTACAACTAAAGAAATTACTACAAACGTTATAACACATGTGAGAGTAAAAATTGACTTGGTTATCTCAAAAATCGTGTACGAAGAATAATATAACTATTTCATGCTTTTTTGTAAATATATAAACAATTTTTTATTACAAGTGGTTTAGTAGATAAGGATCATAAAACAATCAAAAGGTAAATGAAACCACTGGCGTTGATAAACGACGCAAACTTTAAAAAAGATTAGTTAAATTGTATATTAAATTAAAAAAAAATAATGTTACGAAAAAAATCTTGTTACGAACGAAAGAACATATAGTTGCTAGATATAAAAATTCAATATTTCGTTTTCATAAACATGAATCGAACGCATTTTGATATTTTCGTAATTCTTGCATAGTTCTCGAATTAATCAAAATACGCTTTTTCATGTTCTAGCATATTTTCCTCGCATATTTGACCTATGTTGCACCGATCGATATATCAAACTTTTTTTTTGCAATGGCCACAGATCATGCATATTGAAAATCTATTCGTAGGAAATGGCAAAAGTTTGCAATTTGTATGCATTTACTTGCATGTACCGACATTTGAGCCTCTGTAGAGGTTTTATATTCGCATAACTTTTTTTGAAGTGTTCCTCGAGTAAGAAAAAATGTAATAATTCTATTTTTATCAATCTGATATGAGTTTAATCGTTTCGTATAGCGAGTTCTAAATATGAGTGCAATTTTACAGCAAAACTGTACAATATATTCTGCATTAAGTGCCTCTTAATTAATGCATTGTTTCATACATTAGCCAAACTAAAGACGGATTATATTGTAGTTCTACGCGTATGTCGCGCTTATCTCTTCACAACTTTTATAATAAAATATACGGGACATATATATAATCTTCTTTTTTTTCTCCTCAGTAGAGAATGATTGATCAGGTTGACTAGGTCTTGTTATATTGGTGCTACGTAAAAAAACTCTTTAATTACATCACCATTATCTTGTGTTTTTCTGTATTTCACCTCTTGCCGAATAAAAACTAAAAATCCAATAAATTACAGCTGGATTGACAAATATTGTGATATAAGTAAAATTGACATTGTCAGGATAATTCTTAAAAGCCGCATAATAAATCGAATTTATTCAAAATATAATATAATATAATATATATTATAGAGAATATTATATAATATTATATAATTTAATATTATATAATATAAATCGAATTTATATATATTAAAAATGTTATATAATATTAAATGTTAAATATAATATTCTTTATATACATATATACATACATATATATATATATATATATATATATATATATCTTTCTCTGTTTTTTCTATCCGAAAATAGTTTTATTTATTATATAAAAAATATATATTATATTTATAAAAATTTATAAATTTATACACATACATAGTATAATAAAAATAAAATAAAAAATCACTTAATAATAACTTAATAATGACTTAATAATTAAATAATAAGAAAAATAATATAGCATATAGAGATATAAATATATAGGAGAGATATATGTATAATAAAAAAATATATTTATAAATAGAGAGAAATCATAAAAATATAATTCATAAAAATATAATTATTACAATTTAGGGAATATAGCGAAACAAACAGAAGCTTATAATGATATATTTGCAAAAAAATTTAAATCACACATGGAAAAAATAGGATTCAAATTTTCTTTGTTTCTCTGGTCAATCGGTTTTGTCTGATTGTGAGTTTAAAGACATAAACATACATATATTCGCATAAAATTAAAACGACTTTTACTCAACTTACCAATAGACAGTGCGATCATCGATTTGTTGGGGTTCGGCTCGACGGCGATATTTTCCACGATCGATCTTATGGGATTGTGTGTCTTTCGAGCGATGTTAGAGGCGCAAACATTCCAACGTTCACGAAAACTGGATACGGACATCTCGTCGTGCACGAAAGAAATATCAGAAATTTCACCTGCCGATCTTTTTGGTAGAGAATTGTATGGAGAGATATGTGCGTGTGTTCCTCCACAAGAGGGAAAGTATACGAATCTCTCGATAACGCAGATAGTTACGAAATCGACGATTCTCGTGCGACTCGCTCTCTATCACTGAGCCTCAATCGAGACGGCACGTTAATAATCGAAATGCTCTAGGAGGCTGGAGGACAAACGAACCGGTCGGATTGGTCCATGCGACACCACACCTTCTCTGATAATTAATTAAATGGATTCCGTGCTTACGTAGGGAAAACGAGCGCCTTGAACGGCTGCGTCAACGTTGTCATTCAAGAGGAAAACAAGAGTATTGCCGCCGTTCTCTCTCAGAATGTGGAACCTTAACTCCGCCGCGTTCCTATTTTGTTGCGTCTCTCGCTAATGTTTATGCAATTATACCTCGCAACTGTTTACTCCGAGTTACAGAGGATTATTCGAATGCTGCTCCGGTCCGACTACGACGTCACAAATGTGCGTTTGCTCGTTAATCGAGTTTAACGCGACGCTGCTGCTAAATTCGCGCATCCAACGAATGTCAGGGATGAATGAACGAATGAATAGACGCAGAAATGACTGCTATCTGCAAGAAATCAGACAAAAATTCTCGATTCAAGAAATGTAGTTACCGAAAAGCCAGAATTCAACCTTTAGCACACTAACATTTTTCTATACGTTTATCGCGTATATATAGAAGAAGCTGAAACATTATATTTTTATGGATTTTCGTTAAATATTTTATAGATATTTTTTTACTATTTTTCAAAGATTATCTCTTTATTACATATATAGGGTGTATCTTAAAAAGTGGAAAGTATTGCAATGGATTCAGGACACAAAAATAAGAGAAAAAGTTACCCTGTATATCTAATAAAAAATAAAAGAATAATCTTTGAAAACATAATAAAAAGATATCTATAAAATATTTAACTAAAATCCATAAAAATATGTTTCATATATATAATAAAAGAAAATTCTATAAATAAATAATATCTTTATTATATAATTCCTAAGTGCTAATATTGTGCTAAATTTAACTGCATTATGTTGCATGTATGATAATAATGATTACGTACATAAAATTTTTATGAATTGATAACATAAAAATAACAACTCAAATGCTATTATGAGAAAATAAAATTTAAATAAGAAATCATACATTTATAAAAATATGGTATTAATTAATTAAAGCTTAAAATTTATATAAAATTTATATAAAAGTTTATATAAAAGAAATATGTAAAATATTGACATTAATATTGATCGATTTTTCATGTTAATATTACATATATTATATACACACACACACACACACACACACACACACACACACACACACACACACACACACACGCACACGCACACATATATATATATATTAATACGAGCCGGTGATATTATCGTACAGTTAATGCCAAATATAAAAAGATAATATAAGAATTGATAGAAAGCTAATAGTTTTTTAATGATTGAATAATGATTTTAAAAAAACTTTTCCATAAAATGCTTGATAAAAATATCCTGTTTATCAAAATTCCATCTATATTAGACGACTGTGTGCAAAATTTAGCTTTCGGATTTATTGCGATATATGATACTTTTTATAATAAAACTATAATAAATTATAGTTTTATTCGACATTAAAAACTCGTGTCGAAAATACTAAGATTTTTTCGGATAAAATGGCAATTGTGGCTGATTTTGATGACGTATAAAGTAATATTACGTTAGCGTAGAAAAAATACCTATACATGTAAATTGCTCTTGATAGAGGATGAATAATAAATAAATCTCAAATATTGTCCAAACGCTTTTTCTTTTTTTATTTAATTCGCGCGTCACTAGCAGAGGAAAAGTATGTATTTATATGTATTTAGATAGCATAAAAATATTCTCTAAAGTATTATTGACATCTTAAAGTCGTAAATCTCAATAGTATTTCAAACATGTTCATATCATTGTTTATTTATTTTGTTATTTTTCGGATATATATTTAGATCAAGATTTTGATTCTCGCTCAATTTCGTGTTCGATACTTATTGATTTTTTTCGAATAGAACAAGCCGATTCAGACAATCGACAAAATGAAAAAGAAGTACAAAAGATGCTGATTATAAAATAAATGCCAGTTATAATTAAAATAGACAAGAAAGCGTATTTTATGATATATATTACAAAAACATTAGCTCAAAATTAAAAGCTTTGAAATATTCGTAGTAATCCTGAAAAATCTCCGTATTTATATATTCATATCTTATAAATTAAAACATTATATAAATGCAGGAGATGCACATATATTAAATATTACATCTTTTATATATTGAATGCTCTATCTAATCTCCAATCAAAATCTTATTTAAAAATTTCAAAAATCAAGACTTTTATACAGTTATTAATATTTTTATTAGTAAATAGAATGTTTCGTCAAAGAAAGAGATTTATATAGAATTTCTATTATATCATTAACATGTCTAAATATTTGCATACATGAAAAGATACGTAAAGATACAAAAAAAATATTTTATAAATTAATTAAAAAATTGTTTTTTTCTCTCTAATTGCCTTTAAAAGAAATATTATTTTGTAACATTAGATCAAACTTTTGAAGAAGAAGAGAAATTCCAAAAAAAGAGTAAAAGTACAAAATAACTCTAACTCTAATTAAATAATCTTGAAACGTAGGTATAATTTTATTACCGTCTTATATATTAATAACAAATTTTTTAACACATTTCATATAAAATGAAGATTTTAAGATTATATAAGTATTATTATTATAAATTAATTGTAATTATTAATTGTAATTATAAATTAATTGTAATTATTAAAAAATTATAATTAGTAATTATTAAAATATTTAAAAAAATATTAAATTAGTAATTATTAAAAAAATTATTAGAGCCCATCAACTTATGTTATTATTGCAATACTTACATATTGTTGCATTTACTAAATTTTGTTTTACGCTATTCGTATCAAACTTACTACTAAAACAGCAGAAACGTAGCAATTTCCATTTGTATTCTATTTTTATCATCATTTTTGTCTTTCGCATGATCCGACAAAAGACAAAAATGATTGGATAACTAAATTAAAGCGTGAAAAAAGCTTTTTAGCGGGGATTTCCTCCTTTCAAAATGAATCTCGGAAGGAATGTTGCGATGCCGGTTTCGCGATGTTGTCAAAGTTTGTCGAGATGCCGGGACTGGGCCAAGATGGAATTTTAGACATTTTGTAACTCTATTTTACAGAATACGGCACATGTGTCGAACCAAGGTTCTTCTCGTTGGAGGCTCGACTGCTTACTATGTTAAACACATTGGCCTCAGTAGGATTCCTTTACGACGAACGTCTCTCCTATAGCTGTACTCTTTGAGGTTCTCGTAAACTTTCTTACTACGACATCAATCGATACTTAGATACATACTAAAGTTTTTTTCACGACGAGAATCTTGAGTAGGAAATAATAGTGTTAAGAATAATAGAAATAATAACAATGATAGAACGGTGATACACAAATATAATATAAATAAATTACACATATGACGCAAAAAAAAGATATGTCATATATAATGTGAAAATGATGACATACGACGACAAAAAACGATAAAAAAATATCATTTATTACTATCAATCAATCACTATTCTGATTGAGAACAATATTTTTTATTAACCTCTCAACAAAAATGTAGATCTTTTATTGATTGAAAAATACAAAAATCATATTAATTTTCGCTAGGAGAAATTGGGTTAAGTATTTTTACCACTTATTACATTTTCATTCATTAAGATTAGAATTTAAATGTTGATTATGATCATATAATGTCATATTTTAGCAATTTTTATAATTTTAGAATAAAAAGATTATATAGTTTAATGTGGAAATAATTTTATATCGCTTATAGTTTGTTTTATTCTCTGAATGTTCATAATCAATTTATAAACTAGGTTAAAAATATAACTTGTAAGAAATAATATAAAAATTTTAGAGTGCTTACAAGTTAATATTTATTATTCAATTTAGAAATTTATTCTAAGTCCTATAAAATATCTATTCCTATTCTAGAATCGCAAAGCACTGACACATGTCATATGTCATTTAAAAGCTATATTTTGGCTCATCATGCTAATTAATTGAATATCTCATCAATAGTATTTAAATATGCATCACGCACCATGCGCGTTATATATCTTCTGTTATTTCAAAAGAAGAAATTATTTGAATATTCATAAATTTATTTCTTAAGGTGCGTAATTAGCTCTCCTTTGGAGGTTCGTCTCTAATTGCTATATTGTGACACGTTGACTTTAGAAAGACTTGTTGACATTTTCTGTCGAGAATTGTTACGCATTATTATCAAATATGCTGACGTAACACTTGTTGTTAAAATTATTCACAAAATTATTAGTTCTGCGACCGGCATCATAATATTTTCTGATGTCATTTTCATGTTATTTATTTCTACATAAAATTTTATCAAGAGATAAATATATTAAATTTTTTTTACAAAGTGCTACATTTTATGTATGTATATATAATATGAATCTAAACGCGAAATAAAAATTTATAAACTTGCCAACACGATAGGAAAGTGCGCGAAAGTCGTACATCTCAAAAATAAATTCGTATATTGTAACTCTATACTTTTCGCATATCGTATTCTGGAGCACTCAAAATACCGCCTGGGAGTCGACTTGATGTATGCACGAGGAAATGTCGCAGTATTTCTCGAAACACGCGGAAGAGTGCAAGCTCTGCGTGCATTGTGTTCCCTTTCAATTCAGCCCTCGTGTTATTCAATGAAATATCCGTTCATGCCGGATCGAACGTGGCGTTAGAAACTGAGAGGCTGTTTGCATGTAACGAAAATGAAAACATATGCTAATGAGAATCAATCTCAACTACTGCGAAGAAAATATGCAAATAAATCGCGTTACATTTCCGCGCACTTCGATCGAAATTCAAGAAATTCTAATATCATCAACAGCCTTCGGATAAATTGATTTATCGGAATATAAAAGTGATTTGATTTTCTGAAAATGTAGGAATGAAATGATATTCGCGCAGATATTGTAAGAAATTAGAATATCTTGCCTATCAGGCGGAATATTAATTTCGTATTAATAATTTCCAGATAATATTTGAGAAAATCGGATTTTAAATAATAATATGATTATTGTAGTTATAATCATATTATTCTAGTGGCAAATTTTACCATTATTTCGAAATCTGAAGATTTTAAAGATAAAAATATCATATGCATGTTATACGTTATTGCGTCGTAATAATTATTTATATAATCGAAAGATAAAATTTAAAAATATTTAAAAGAAATATATATATATATATATATATATATATTTTCTTACTGTTATTTTTTTCATACGTAAAATTCAAATTCATAAGAGCTCCAAAATTTTTTTCAGCAGGCCAGTTAAACAGTTTTTGACTGACATTGATCTTGATTAGTCTTTTACAAAATTCCGTGAGCGTTTTAACTTTCTCGACACGAAGACAGCCCTTCGAAACTTTAAAGTGCCGTGGCGTTAGTACGCTAGCGATTTTTCCTTAGGAAAGAGATTACCATAACGAGATGATGTTTGAGCATACGCGTAAAATCGCCATCGATGACAATTTACTCGCGTGCGATACGAAAAAATGAATTACCTTGCGTGTAAAATGCACTTACAATTAGCTTGGCTTAGAGAGCAAAAGAGAGAAAGAGAGAGAGAGATTAATAAGTTCGAGATTCTTTAATGAATGTAGAGTAAATTTCATCGAAAATTTAATCTGAACCCATTCCTCATTCACTTATTCATCATTTGTAGAAAATGGAAGTTTAAAATTAAAATTTCTATTATAATAAGTCCACTCTTTAGAAAATCAATTATAAATTAAAATTATATTCATGTGAAATTTATGACGAAACTTTTAAAATTAACACAAATTTTCTCTCGAAGAATTATTAAATACTCTTCGTGGACAATACATTTGTACATATTTGTTAATGAATATATATTTTACACATTCGTGCTGACAAGTTTTTTACCTGATTATTATTTATACATATCAAAGAAAAGATAAAATGATGTAGACAAAATAAAATACGCTAACGGTAGTGATTAGCGGGAATAAAAATTTCTCTCTTATTCTCACGATAAAATAGACGCTTAACGTCTCTTGGATTCAATTAAAGTCTTGAAGTAATTATGCGCTGCGTAAAAAGGAACTCGAGAAAATATTTCCTACGAGCAGAATTGTTAAAGTACACTTTTCCCTGCATATTTTAATTAAATTGTGTAACGTACGTACAGTAATCGATATGGATATCAGAGTCGCCATCAAAATACTCGAGCGTGAAATTAATGGATCTATATGCATCGAATTTTTTGCTGTCGCTTTTTTTTATTACATTTCCATGGAGCTTATAAAAATTATTCATTGTTTCAAATGTATGCAAAAAATTTCTTATATACTATTTCTTATATACTAAATATTTAAGGTCGGATATACAAACAAGCAAAAATGAGTCAGTCAAGTTTGAAAATAGAATTTTATTAGCTACGTAGCAAAATACCTATTTATTTAAATATTTGGCGTCACACGATTATCAGGCTAAGATCGTTTATATTAATATACAATATGTAAAATGTGCCATATTGGATATGGGCAGTGTCGTTACGATGAACTTAGACTTCAAAAAAAAAAAAAAAAACGAGATTCATACGAAAGATATAAATATATATTATTTTACATGCTAGAGTAGTACGCTAGAGGCACTTGCTTGTAAAGTTATACATATAAAAAAAAGAAAAAAAACACATATGGCGAAAAAGAGGAAGCGCTCGTGGGAAAAGATAAAAGAGCGGGTAACGAGCGGAGAGGAGGATGGTTCTCGAGGGGAAAGAAGTTATCCAGGATGTAAAGTGTAGACACGACGAGGGGGACAAGGGAATAGGAAATAATGAAGACAAGACATGGTTGCGGAACACATCCGGCAGAAAGAATCACGAGAGAGAGAGAGAGAGAGAGAGAAAGGGAGAGGAATGCGTCAGTTCTCTTTATTTCCCGACGCGAATCAAGCGAGTCCTCTGAACTTCCATTCCGTTGTTCCATCGCGTGACGTTACCGCTCTTTTCTTGCTCGTTATCGGGGATCAAAACCGGCGCAATTGCAACGAGTCTAATTTTCCGCACTGCACCTCGCGACGAGATGTATTTTGCGCGATTCGCGTTATTTTACCGTCTCGAATAAACATAGAGATCGTTTTCGCATAGAATCTCCAGCATCGAGATCTGAACTTTTGACGAAATTAGGTTCGGTCTCAATCGCCGTTCGTTTATACTCGTAGTGATATTTTCGCTTCTATTCTCGTGTAAGAAAAAAGGGGCAGAGGAGAATGTATCGTGTGTATATGTGTGTACATGTGTGTATGTATTTCTTTGCGTGTAAACGGTGGCGCACGTGGTGTGTTTTACGTATTCTTTATACAAACTTGGCAGCGACTTATTCGGGACCTAAGATTGCCCGCCTTTAGAGTTTGCTTTTCGGGGCTCCTGAACTGCTGGCCGTCGTCTATAGTAACCATCCAGAAGCTGTACTGATTAGAATAGTAATGGCAGTGTCCTTTAGCGCCGTTACACTCGATGAACGGTGTGGCGCGGAAGTCCTCCAGGCAGGAACCAGGACTCGACAGGGACTGGCCACCGCCCTGGGCACCGGCGCCGGTGTGCTAAAACGATCACGAAAATATTTACTCGATAAATAAACCCCTCCGAGTAAGCTTACAAAGCGTTTAAACATTTCAACACTTGTTAAAGTTTTAATATTCGCGTGGCTCGAAGTCGTAAGCCAAATCTACATTTTCTGTGCTTAAATAGAATCAGAAAATTATGCTTCTTTAGTTTATTCGAATGTCGTTGAAGTGCTGAGAAATTTTGATATGAAGAATGTCTTGGATAAAATGGATCTCTTTCGGCAGAAACAATCTTTGCTCCGTGAATGATGAAAGTTTGTTTTATTTCGGACATGATTGATCTTCCTGCGCGTGTGAATTGAATAGCGAAGCGAATTCTGAATTTAGGTGATAGTAGAAAAATAATTGTATAAATGTGAAATGCTCAAGATGTTTTTTATCAAAAAGCATCACTTGTTTAATAATATCAATATTAATATCTTAAACATATACGCTCTCTCTTCTCTCTCTATAATCTTACACATTAAACTTATTTGATTTATATATGATTTTAATTAATTGCTTTAATCTTGTTAATTTTTATATTAAATATGATGAATAATAAATGATTTAATTTTATTCCATTTCTTCATTTTTATAGCAATGTAATAAATTCGATATTTTCCTTGCATCTGATTTAATTTCATTCAAAGTTTTACATCTTTTATGCAGTTTCATAGTTTTAAATTGATTAAAGCTTTATTATAATTTAGAATATCTATTAATATTTTTTTATATCATGGAAAGAATTAAAAACATCATTCATTTTCATCATAAATTAATATAAAACGCAAGATACATAAAGTTTCCTTGTGCGCTGTAAATAAAATTCAAGGCAAAGGTTACTTACCATTACGAAACTATAACCGATCCAAAGAGTGGTCCATCCAGTCGGACATTCTGGAATGCTTATCGATTGACTGTGTACCGCTATCACATTAGCCGGAACTTCGCACACCACGCATCTACGTGAAAATTGCAAAATTGTAATAAGTAAACTTGCGTAAATTATTATCTAAGTGTCAGCAAGCTCATATGATGCTTATAAAAATGCATATTTATCAAGTTTTTTCAACTTTCAAATTCAATTTTATTTTATAATAAAAACTTTAACCAGATATTTAATTATAGAGATATTTGAATTTGAAAGAATTAATTAATATGTTACTATTAATTAATATTAATTAAATATTATATTAATATATTATTTTAATATTAATTAAATATTATATTAATATATATTAATATATATTTATATATATATAAATATATATATATATATATATACTAATAATTAATATTTAATTAATATTAATTAATATATAATGTTAATATTAATATATAATACATATGAATTGATATATTAATATATAAAAATTATAATATAAAAATAAGAGAAAAAATTGAAAGACAAACTTTTCTTGAAGGTCTTTCGGCTTTATGTTCTGTATCTTGTATAAATATCTACTCTAAAAGAATACACTTTTTTGTGTATTCGAAACAAAAATCTCGACGGGATACAACGCGCATATTGAACATACCTGGAGATATAATCTCTTATCGCTGTTTCCTCGACAGGCATCATGGGAATTGGACTATTGGTCGATAGCCAGTAAGAACGATCATTGCGACTAGCATAATGGCAGACGTTATTGACGTCGCAGAACAGGAAGGGCATCGTTGAGAATTTTCTGACACACGAACCGGCATAACCTGTTTTGCAATAATTTATATGACAAGTTGGATTAGTTTGCATAAAAAAATTTTAATTGCGCATCGATCTGCCACGATTATAATTTCTTTACACAACAATTTGAAACAAATCACATTATAGGTTGTAGTATATGATGTAAAGGTATAAGAAAAAAACAAGCATAACAAAATGCAAATATGTATTAGCTTATTAGATGCTAAACAGTCTATAATCGCATAAAAATATGTGGCGCAGTGCATATAAGTTCGCTGAATAATAAATTGAAGCGTATAATATTTTCAAATACCAGCAATGACACTTTAAACGATAATTGAGATTATCAGCACGAATCTAATAAATCTCTAGCAAATTGCACGGAAAATGCAAGTCAGAGATTTTGACGCGTTTATAAATATAATCCAGAAATATTATAATAATATTATAAAAATTAAAAATCTGTTAATATCTTTTTATGATTCGATGCACAGTCTCAATTATATTATGTTAATTTTTAAATTGAGCTAGAAATATTATTAAATATTCCAGAATTAATTATTATTAAATATCAATTTAAATAAAAATAAAATATTATTTTGAGCAAAAATTGACAAGATGATGCGAAAAACTTACCTAAATCTTGAGAATGTGCCCTTTCGTCACCATCCGTGTAGAGTAAACTGTATCCTTCCCAGAGCTTGATATGGCCTGGCTCACAAACGGGCACAGCTTGGCTTTGACTGTGTTTGACTAGAAGGATACCGGTGAGATAATCAGGTGTCGTCTCGCACGGTGCACCAGGCTCTCCAATAAGTCCCGGCAGACCGACTGGACCTTGAAGACCTGGTAGACCGGGCGCGCCGACTGGTCCAGGTAATCCTGACAGTCCAGGAGGTCCTGCTGGGCCGATGAAACCTTGCTCGCCTTTGATACCATCCAAGCCGGGGAAACCGGGCGGACCCGAAAGTCCTTTCTCTCCCGGAGGACCAGGCGGTCCAGATGATCCTGTGAAGACATTTATGCTTTAAATTTTAATTATGTCGTACATAAATAATATAATCTTAATCTCATATTTCAAATTTATTTTCTACATAGAAGGCTAATGTGGATATTTTTTGTAGTTTATTTTCTTGTATTTTCTTTATATTTATATCTGGAAATATTTAAATATTTATATTCTAAACTATATATTTAATTTTAAATTATTTATTTAATATATAATTATGTATAATTTATGTTTTAAGATATCAAAATTTTTTTATAAACTTATGAAATATATATTTTATTAGAGAAATTATAACAAAATATACCAGGATATCCGCGATCTCCTTTAGGTCCCATCGGCGGCTCGATACAGTCTTCACCCTTTTCACCTTTTTGTCCTACGTAACCAATGGCACCCATCAATCCGATTGCACCAGTATATCCTCTATCACCCTTTTCGCCAGGCGGTCCAGGTAGACCATTAACACCGTCCCAACCTCTTTCACCCTTCTCTCCTGGAAGTCCATCCAATCCACTTGGTCCTAAAAGTAAATTAATTAATTAAAAATAAAGAAATAAATAATTAAATTATAAAAATAAATAAATTATCGCCTCTATTGTTTTTTTAAATATATTTGTGTTATCATATGATATTTAAAATATTAATTAAATGATAAAAAGAAGAGATCATAAATTATAATATTTATATATATAAATATATTATTTATTTGCTAATAAAAATATTTTTTAGAGAATTATAAAATAATACATACATATATATATATATATATATATATATATATATATATATATTTATTTATTTATAATTCATTAAAAATAAGAATAATATTGAATACCTGGATGACCAGGTTCTCCTCTTTCTCCTGGAGCGCCAAATAATCCAGGCAATCCTTGATCACCTTTTGGACCTCTTTCACCAGTTAATCCTGGTACACCTTCTAGACCTGGAGCTCCGTCGCGTCCTGGTGATCCAGTCAAACCTGGTGGACCTTGATTACCTTTTTCACCTTGTGGTCCAACCGGTCCGTAGGGACCAATATCTCCCTTTGGTCCAGGCAAACCGGGCAATCCTGGCTCACCCTTTTCTCCAGGTCGTCCTGACAATCCATCCCTACCGTGCTTACCCAAAAGACCTGGCAGACCTTTTTCACCCTTTATCGTAACTCCAGGGATTCCAGGAATACCAGGAAGTCCTTGTTCACCTACATAACATATATAAAAAATGCTTCGTATAAAAAAATTCGTACAAAATATTAATAAAACTATTATAACATATATTATAGATAAATAATTATAACTTAAGCTTTTTCTTCAAATCTTCACTATATATATATAAACACATTAATATCTTATAAATTTTTTAAAATTATTAATTAGAGAAATTTTATAAACTTTTTAATTTTAATAAAAATATAAATTTTTAAAAAAATATACCCTTAGGTCCAGGAGCACCATGAGGTCCAGGAGATCCTTCTGCTCCAGGTAAACCTCTGTCACCCTTTTCGCCATCATAACCAGCAATACCTATTAGTCCTTGATCTCCCTTCTCTCCTTTTGATCCAGAGAATCCAGGGATACCTGGCTCTCCCTTTTCACCCTTAATTTGAACTGTTGGTCCCGGAGGGCCACGATCTCCTTTTTCTCCTAGTGCTCCAGAAATACCAGGCAATCCGACAAGTCCTAAAATTCAGTTTTATTTGGCATGACTTATTGCTTTATATGTTCTGCTCCCTCTCTTATATATTAATAAAACATTATTAAACGCATATAAAATAAAAGGCACTAGAATAGTTAAATAAAATAATAAATAAAATATAATAAATAAATTAATTAATAAAATATAATAATAAATTAATTAAAATATAATATTAAATAAAATAATTAAAATATTGATTTACATATTTTAGAATATTTAATTAGTATATTTAATTAAATTACGAAAGGATCTTTAATTTTAACAATTAAATAAAATATATTATAATATATATTATAATATATATTGTAAAATATATCATAAATATATAAATTTTATCAAATATTATGTTTTTTTACCTGTCTCAAATGACATTTATACAGATCTGATAGTTATTTCTTACCTGGTAAACCGCGATCTCCTTTAACGCCATCAAGTCCAGGTCGTCCGGGAGAACCTATCTCGCCATTAAGGCCTGGGAAACCAGTTGCTCCCGGTGGTCCAATATCGCCAACTTCTCCAGGAAGTCCATCTATTCCGGGTGATCCTGGTTCTCCAGGTATACCTGGTGAACCCTATTAATAATAATGAAAAGAAGTTAAATAATTATATAAATTGAAAGGAAATAATTATAGCATTTCGCTTTAATACTTTTAATTCATATTATTTAAACTTACCAAATCGCCTTTTAGTCCAGGGAATCCTCGTACACCAGTGTCACCCTTTTCACCTTGAAATCCTGGCAATCCGTCCCGACCAGGCGTGCCTATTTCTCCTTTCAATCCAGGCAATCCATCACGACCATTACCTGGTCTGCCAGCTTCTCCCTTTGCTCCATCGATACCGTCTCGTCCTGGAGGACCTTGAGCACCTCGTATTCCAGGCATTCCTGGCTCACCTTTTTGTCCTTTTTCCGAAACTTGTCCTGGTTCTCCTTTCCTTCCCTGATTACACAATTAATTGTCGAATGCATATAGTAATATGTTTATGAATATGTGTATATAATTATGAAGAATAGATGAGAGAGACTTACCGGTGGTCCTGGTAAGCCAACGTCACCTTTAGCTCCTTCATAACCAATAAGTCCCGGTAAACCAGGCGAACCGGGTAATCCTTGATCTCCTTTCAGGCCGGATATGCCAGGGCGACCAGGTTTTCCTTCCATACCTGGTAATCCAGGGAATCCTGGCGAACCTTTATCTCCATATTCTCCTTTTATACCCGGTTCACCATCCACACCAGGTCTACCTGGAGTTCCAGGCAAACCTCGTCTGCCTGGATATCCTTTTGGTCCATCAATACCTGGTTCACCGCGATCACCTTTTACGCCTGGGAATCCTGGCAGACCCGCTCTACCGGGCTCGCCCGGTAATCCTGGCTCGCCTATAATGATTATAATTAATTTTTAATAAATTATAATAAATAATCATTATAAATTATCTTTAAAACATTTAACAGTTAATCCTTAACATTCTAATAAATTAAATTATGACATTTTATAAGATTTATTAACTTACTATATATTAAATAAAAATATTTTTATTTGCTATTGAAATTACAAATATTTAAACAAACTTTTCCTTTTTTTAAATGTTTTTAAACTCAATAGTAAATAAAAATATTTTTGCTTAATAAATAATTTATAATAAATTATGAGACATAAATAGAAATATTTTTGCTTAATAAATAATTTATAATAAATTATGAGACATCATAATTTTTAATTTATTAAAATTTGTTATTATCGTACCTTTGCTTCCGTCGATTCCTGGAAGACCAGCTACACCTGGAGGACCAGGTGGACCAACTGGACCAGTATCTCCTTTTTCACCGGGTGCTCCCGGTAAACCATTTATTCCCGGTGCACCGATGTCTCCTTTCTCTCCAACAAAACCTGGTAATCCTGGATACCCTACTGGACCTTCTTTTCCAGGTGGACCTGGAAGCCCCTTCTCTCCCCTTTCACCCGGAGGACCTGGTAAACCAGGACTGCCCTTCACAGATATTCCGGCCTCTCCTTTATCACCTTTCGGAGCTGGGGCACCTGGGAAACCTCTAGGTCCTTCTCGACCAGGTTCTCCTGGGAAACCCATAGGTCCCATATTACCTTTATCACCACGTGGGCCAGGCAATCCTCTCGGACCTACAGGTCCAGGAGCACCGATTTGACCGGGTACACCAGGTGGACCCTAATTTTTGAATAATAACATTATTAATAAAATTATATTTCTTTATGTATAAGTGTATAATATTAATTGCTATTTGCGAATTTCAATAATGTGTTATTTCTTAAATATTGAAAGTTTAAATTATTAATCCGATAACTTACTAAAATGCATTCATAAAAAAAATAATCATATATGTGTAATGTTAAAAATATTAAAAATATTTTTAATATTAAAAATATAATATTAATGTATGATATTAAATATTTTTACTATACATATATACATACATATATATATATAAATTTTGTCTTATAATTTTGTCTTGACAAAAATATTTTTTTCATAAGTTTTTTTAACTAGTATACATACCGAGAAACCTTGCAAGCCTTTATCACCAGGTAATCCATCTAAACCAGGTGGTCCAGGTTCTCCCTTGTCTCCAGTTAAACCTCGATCACCTTTGAAACCTTTCATAAAGCGAAGTGGTGGACATTGACCTAGTTACAGAAAAATTTATAAATATATCTTTTATATCTTGTGAAAAAAACATATATATATATATATATATATATATATATATATATATATGTGTATATATAGGTACATAGGTACGTATACATGTTTGACATATTTTTAAAAATATATAAAGTCTTCTAAAAAACTGATAAAAATTTAAGAAATGAACGAAATCTTACCAGCTTCACCCTTAATACCATATAAGCCAGGTTCTCCTTTTTGTCCTACAAATCCTGGTCTACCTGATTCTCCTGGTTCACCCTTTACGCTTAATCCTTTTTCTCCTTTTCGTCCAGGTGTACCTGGTCTTCCTGGAACTCCATCTTGTCCTGGGAATCCACGATCTCCCTAAAAAGTAATAATTTTTTAACTTGACGTATGGAAATTTTAACAGAAAAATATTAATAACTTTTTTAATTACTAGTAATTAAAAAATTAATCTTACTGGAGTGCCTTTAAGTCCTGGGAATCCTTCAAATCCGGGTCTTCCCTTTTCTCCCTGAGGTCCTTCTGGTCCTGGCGGGCCTTGTCGACCAGATTCGCCGCGCGCTCCTTTATCACCTTTTTCTAGCTTAAGCATATTCCATGTCACTGTCGCTGGAGTTCCAGATTCTCCTTGAGGTCCTGGAGCACCGGGTATACCATCTTTTCCCTTATTGAAAAATTAATACATTTTTTATTTGATAATTACAATATATATATATGTATCTTATATAATATACATGCATATATGTCAAGACTAATAATAATTAAATGTTACAAATAAAAATATGTATAATATAATATTTTATATATATATATAATATAAATATATAAATTTAGAAAAATTATCTAAATTAATAAAATAAATGTTTTGTTTTATAGATTTATTAATATTGATTCAAGAAATTATGAAAGCAAAAATATTTTAGAAAAATCCTTAAAACTCAAAGGGAAATTTTTTGCTATTGAAAAGAAAGTAGAGATTTTATAATAATAATATAATTTAAAACTATAATTTAAAATTCAGTATATCAATATATTTTTCTAATACAATATCTTTTTTTAATACAATATCTTTTTAATGAAAAATCTTATTTTGAGATCAATTCTATTTAAATATATTTGTCCTAAATGTATTTACAAATAAATGAAATCAAGATGTATATTGCATTTTGTTATATTAAAATACTACTTTGAGCAATAAAATCTATATCGGTTTTATCATGTTACTTTATATTATATAACTTAAAGTTAAAAAAGTAAAATATCTTTGAACGTATATTTAAAATACATTTAGCATAGGATAATTATATATAAAAAATGTATTAATTATAAATTAGAATTATTAACATACTGGTTGTCCCGGAGGTCCAATTGCGCCTGGTAGTCCGTCTAATCCAGGTTCTCCAGGGAAACCGCGTTCTCCGGGCGGTCCTCGAGGCCCAGTAAGACCCGGAATACCATCTGCACCGCGATCTCCTTTAACACCTCGCAATCCTGGTAAACAATCTATGCAACGACCGCCAACATCTCCTTTCTCTCCTAACTCTCCAGGAAGGCCTGGTATACCGTCTCTTCCTGATGCTCCCGGTTCTCCAGGCTCACCGGGCGCACCGGGAGCTCCTGGAATACCATCTAAGGAATCTCCCGGTCGGCCTCGGACACCCGCATAACCCCGTTCTCCTTTCTGACCTTTCTCTCCATCATAACCAGGCGTTCCATCCATTCCTTTCGGACCCTATTCCAGATATATATCATTTATATATATATATATATAATTATTTTTATAATTTAATTTTTTTAATTACTTTTTAAATAACATAACAATCGTATATATATATATATATATATATATATATATATATAATAATGAAATATATAATTATATTTACCATTATCGATAATCCTTTTTCTCCTGGCGCTCCTCGCGGTCCTGATGGTCCTGGTGGTCCGTCAAATCCACGTGGTCCTGGACCTCCGGGAAATCCGGTCAAACCAGGCTCACCCTTTCCACCTTTTTCTCCCGGTAAACCTTCTGGACCTGGAATGCCAGGTAATCCGGGACCTCCTTGTAAGCCTATGGGACCTCTTGGTCCTGGATCTCCAGAAAAACCATCTGTTCCTCGCGGTCCAGTAGGCCCTGGAAAACCACGTGGTCCTTTTGGTCCTGGTGGTCCCGGTCTTCCTTTACCACCCTATAATATAATATTTAATAAAATCATAAATTAAAATTTTATGAGCATAATACTTAATAATTATGAAAATAATTATAATAATTATTATAATAATAATTATGAAAATAATTATGATAATAATCTCTTTGTCTTTGTACGTGTATTAATATAATATGTATATTAATTATATTAAGCTTAAAAAATAAGACTTACTCCTGGTGGGCCAGGAGGTCCTCGTAATCCTGAAACACCCATCGGTCCATCTCGACCGGGTTCTCCTTTCTTGCCAGGGCGTCCAGAAAGTCCTTCCAATCCATCAATACCTCGATCACCTTTTCGTCCAGGTGGTCCAGGAGGTCCAGAAAAACCATCTCTACCCTAAAATTTAAAAAAAAAATCCTTTCTTCATATTCTTTTTTTATATAATATCATAAATTTTTTTATATAAATTATATAAATTTTTTACATTTTTAATTTTTTATATCATAAATTAATAATATTTGTTATATATCATTTTCTTATTTTTTTATACTTTTTTTATACTTATTAAATCTTTAAAAAATTTTAATATACTCACACGAATACCTGGAGCTCCTGGAAGACCCTTTTCTCCTTTTTGACCTGATCCTCCGGGTATACCATGATCACCTATAAATCCTGGCTCTCCTTTTTGCGCTTCCGGTCCCATTTCACCCTAAATGTTAGAATCGAGTTAGATTCGAGCGTAACACAAAACGGATAATATTTCTTCATATACCTTATCTCCTTTTTGTCCTTGTTCTCCAGGCGGGCCAGTTACTTCCGTTACTTCTGAGAATGGCATAATAGGCGCAGTTGTACCAGGAGGTCCTGGATCTCCTTTTTGACCTTTATCTCCCTTCAGTCCTTCGAATCCGAGACCCATGTTACCTTTCGCTCCTTTCGGACCTGGTAGGCCGGGAGTACCCTGGATTTATATATAATAATGAAATATATGTAGGATTATTTTTAAGGAAACTAATTTAATTGACAAATTTAAACAATACTTACGTAAGAGCCTCGTTCACCCTTCAGGCCAGACGGGCCTCGTTCTCCTTGTAAACCAGGTGGACCGGGAGGTCCTCTTACACCGTCCATACCAGGTTCACCTTTTTGTCCCACGGGAAAAGAACCGGCATACGCTGGCTGTCCCTTTTCTCCTTTAGGACCGGACACTCCTCGAAAACCACGAGGTCCCGGTTCTCCGGGAAGACCGTCACGTCCGGGAGCACCCTAAAACATATTATAAATTTGAAATATTTTCTCATATTAATAAATATTAATTGTAACATTATTATTTAAAAAAACGTATTAACAATATAATCGCTTTTAATAAAACATGTTAGAATTATGAATAATAATAATAATATAATAATAATATAAATCATTATTATTGTTATTATTATTATTATCATTAAATCATAATTGAATGAATTATTATTATTATTAAATAATATTATTGAGTTGTTTATGATATTCTTTAGTTTTTATAATTTATATATCTTCACATTTAAAAAGTAGATATCTAATAGGAGATACTAAATTAAAAACTAATTATAGAATATAATTATTTTAAAATTCTCTTTCATTATTAGATAATACTTACATCCGTTCCGTTGCAACCATCACGACCGGGCAAACCAGGAGATCCCGGTGATCCTTGTACTCCAGGCACACCATTTATACCGGGAAAACCAGGCATACCCATTTTTCCCTTTAATAACATAAAATTATTCCTTGGAGAAAGTTTGAGTTAATGTCATCATCATATGAGAATCATATACACGTACTCTGTCACCTTTCACACCATGCGGACCTTGCGGGCCGGGATCTCCTTTTTCACCTTTGGGACCGAGAAGACCCTCCGCTCCTGGGAAACCTCGTTGTCCCTTAGGACCTTGCGGCCCGATTAATCCAGGCGGTCCCTGAATAAAAATATGATAAATTGAATTATAGATGAGAATTTCAAAAATTATATTATTTCAAAAAACATTAAAATTCCATAAATGTGATTAGGAAATGATAAAATGGTTTTAATGATGTCTATCTTATTTTGTTAAATTTTTAACTGTTTACAAAAAACTTTATAAGAGGAATGAGAATATAATAATTATGAAATATATACATGTATATATTTCATATATCTTCATTATAAAGAAATAAAAACAAAATAAAATGCAACTATATTTTTCAATCTTCGTAAAAATTACATTTAAATATTTAATTATCGCTTTATTTTTTAAGTTTTATTGTCAATTCTCGAAAACTAACCCGTGAACCTTTTTCAGCGAAACACTTGGGCACACAGCATCCTGATCCAGTGCAATTACTGGGTGCTCCAGGCATTGGCACCACATGATAATTGCTCTGATAATTGTCGTTGTCTGAGAAACCACCTCGGCTGCCATAAGTAACTCCACTACCACGACCGCTGCTTTCACGACCATAAGAATCCGCGCCTCTCGGATCATAATTCTCCCCATAACTGCCACTGTAAGTATCACCGGAACTTCCTTGGCCATAATTGTAAGAACTTCTTCCCCCTCCTCCTCCTCGTTCACTTTCACCGGCACCTAAACGAAAATTACGAATAATTATAATTAATTCAATCAGGGGAAAAATGAGCTACGAACAAATATATCTTTAAGAATGCATAAAAAATGTAAATTTTGAAGAAAGCTATAGAAGAGAAAAAATTTAAGATTTAAAGATTTTTCTAAAAAAAATCTAATTCCGCTTAGCTATAAAAAATATTCTCAAATATAAATTATACATTTTTCCTTTGCATATAAGCTTTTTCTATATTTAACGATATTTTATAACATGTATTTTTTATATCAACTTTGAAATTTGAAATACGCAAAATACGCTTTAATTTGTCTCTCATATAATCCACCATCAGGATGAATTACCGCTGTATGTCTCATAGTATCCTTCACCATGACCGGTAGGATAACTGCCTTGTCGATTTTCGTCAATTCCTGATCCTGACGCGCCGCCACTATCAGGATATCTGTCGTAGCCGCCCTGCGATGATCGATCGTAAGGATATCGGTTCGGATAACTTTGACCGTAAGAATTATTCCTATTTCTATAGTAATTCCATAGTTGAGTTCTCTCTTCGGGAGTGGTGTAATGGTCAGCAGAACTGACGTTCCGCTTTCTCGGGTCCTCGTATCCTAGACATGTCAATCAATAAACGTAATTTTTAATGGTAGCTTCCGATACTTTCATCAGTCATTATATTGCCAAATTTTGAGAATGAAACAATGATTCGTTACACGCGATGAAAACCGATATTCAGCTCGGAGAAAAATGATACAATATGATATCATAATAATATATTCTTTAATTAAATAATATTTTTTGCACGAAATAAAATATACTAGTGCTTAGAGGAGGTATATATTGATTTCTTTTTATTTCGCAATATAAATTTTTATTCAAAAATATAACTACATAGAAAAATGTATCTACATGAATATTTTTTTATACGAGAGTTTTCACTTTTCTCTCTCTCTCTCTTTCTTTAATTATTTTAGTTGTAAAAAATTGATATATTAATTTCATCACAAAATTATCATGTATGACACATCATTATTCTTATTATAGAATCGAAAACTCAATTTCTTTATTCCCTAGTGATCAAATCAAGGGAAGAAGGACTAGATACAATTGTGTATTATACATCCTTCTATTTCTCACATAAATTATAGCAGCGAAAATGAAGCGGCATGTTGTCCAAGTACCTTCGTTGTCCGTAAAAAATCTGTCTCTTAAATTGTCTCTCCATCCCAACGAACTGTCGTATTCATCGTCGTTAATGTTTGAAGGCGCTTCGATATCACCTCGTTCCAGTGGCACGACCGGTAGCGGCCTTGATGTGTTAAATTGCTAAAACAAATATTCGTAGATGAGAAGTTCCGTAAATGGTATCACATAAGTACACGTAGTAGGTTGCGATCAATAAAACGCGATATTAGCGACGGATTAAGGGTACACCGGGGCGTACGACAAAAAAAAGCTGCAAATTCTCGTTTGTCAACTTCGCTGAGCAAAATATGTTCGGACAATAATACCGCGATTAACGATGTGTGACAGAAAGCCACGTGTTCGGGAATTTGAAAAGTATATCATTTAAAACATTCACATCGCGCTTGTAGAACATCATACCTAGTCATGGTCAGTTAAAACCAGCAATTCTCGTTTTAAAAAAAAATTCTCGTTTTTCGAGATATTTTCGAGGCAATAACGCAAAATATACGAATATCAAAAAAGTGAATTTCGAAGAATTTATATCAATTAGAGCAGATATGAATTTTAATGAATCTGTGCTTCACAATATTTTTTTTGCATTATATTATGTATGAAAAATAAAAAAAGAAATAAAAAAAGTAACATTTTTATATCAAAGCTAAAACTATTGAAGAAAAATCAAGTCTAAAAATTTGTGCATTGCATTCAATACAATATAATATAAAATCATGCATTGCATTCAATATATTATAATATAAAAATGTTTTGGGTCTAGGAAAAAATGAGATTATGATATAATCTCATTTTTTCCTAGACATAAAACTATTTTGAGTCTAGGCAAAAATGAGATTATATCACAATCTCATTTTTGCCTAGACTCAAAATAGTTTTTGTTCGCCGTAGATTGAATCTAAACGATTGCGCATCTAACATATATTTTTAAGATTTGCATAGCGAGTTTATTTGCATTTAATATACATTTGCATTTACATAGAGTTTATAGAATTAATAACAGCAGGATATATCTTCTTGATTTGCGGAAAATCCAACAGCAAGAGTCGTTCACTCGAGCACGTGCGAGTGACGGTTTACTCGTATAACATTAAGTTGACCCCCGGCAACCCTCGCGTGGTGCGCCCATTAAATTGGTATTCTTATGAGATTTATCGGTATGCGTTCCATGACATACACAAGAGAACGTACGGCGTGGCTGTAAATTTAACTCGCATTTCGTGCGGCCAAGATTTACGCTTTATCCACCGAGAGCATCGTTCTTCTACGGCCTCGTGGCAAACGGTACGATGCCGCAAAAAGAGCCGTTTTACCGACCGATTGTACGCTTACGGAAAGGAGAGAAGATAAAACCATCTCGGCGTTAGTGGTCATTTCTAATGTCTTCATCGTGTCTCTTTCTTCCCTTCGTTTCTTGCGCTCTCGCGTCCGTTTTTACCGAGATTAATTATGTTATCAGATCGGAACATTCCTGAGAGAATCTCGTTTTGCAGTCGGAAATGTGAGATTAACGCTTGTTAGTTGCAACGATGTTATGGAGACGAGTAATGAAGTCAATCCAGTCAAAATTTTAATTAATTGAATTTCCACAAATTTTACGTAAGTTGCCGCTCTTTAATATTTACTTCATTTTAGCACCAAATTATTTAAAAGAGAAATATATAATATTATTTATAATTATATATATCATTCTATTTTATTACAATTTAATTAATATATTCGGAGAAACTTGAACCCTGAAACTAATAAGGATACTTATTTATTTTTTGTAATAATTATCTGCGTTCTTTTCAATGACTCGTCGCGGTATTTAAATATATCGCAAAAACGGAGCAATTCAAGTAAGGTAGCTTGTATGACGAAAATTAGATCCATTCATTAAAAGCCTTGAACAAGGTTGTATATTGTACGCGTATCATTCGCATTCAACGCGAAGACGAGATCAAAACAACAAGATTAATTAGCGGAATGCGTCTTTCCCTACGAGAAGCATTCATTTCGCAGCGATGCGCGTCATCATTTTCCCCGAAAGTCATTGTCCTCGTTTTCATGGTTTTGTCCTTTCCTTTTTCTATTCTCGAAGATGGCACGCGCTGACAGGAAGCGCGCGGGGAGATAGCCGGTTATCATCCCGAGATGACGTGCCGCCCTCAAAGCGAGACTGCATTGCATGCACATGTACTGCATCATTGTATTATGATAGAAGCGACGAGAGTGTCCTTTTAAAATTTCATTCATTCATGCGCGCCGTACGACTCGAAAAACTGCGCCAGCTTGTGTTATAGATACAAAAAAATCACTGACACTCCGAACCATAGATCGCGAATGCAAATTTTTTAATCACATCGAAGTAGCATCTTGTATGACATTATTGGACAGATAATAGATTGCTATCTTGTTTGATTATTAATTTTTCGTTAATTCCTTCAGATTTATTCTGGATTAAATCGGATAAAAATGTGACAGCTACTATAAAATATTCTCTCTCCTTCCACGACTTTTTAAATATTAATTTTTCTCTTTAAGATTTTAACAGCTGTTTATTATCCTTAAGTTTCAGGTTTGGGGAGAATTAAAAGTTAATTTGAAGGCATTGGGGGATAAAGAGAAAGGCTATAATTTAAGAAATATTCGAGGATTAATAATCGATAAATCAATTTCCATTTTTTGCGAGAGAAAGTTTATTCAAAATCCCCTAAAATATTGCGAAGCTGGGATTATACCTCTCACATAAATTATCTCGTATTAAAGATTTATTTATACATCGAACATTAATTTCATATCTAATTCCCTCTCTCTCAAATTGATCCATCACAAAATCCGATGATACAAATGTACGCCATTTAAATCGCGCAAAATAGTTTACGTCAAAGTGGCATAAAATTGTCAAATTGCTTTCTCTCTCTCTCTCTCTCTCTCTCTCTCTCTCTCTCCTCCCTTCTCTCTCTTTATCAATGTACTCAATTTCGGCTTATTGCGCGCTCATACGTCATCATGTTCATACAGATTGTGCGAAAGGGGGAAACAGAAATCAAAGCCACGCGCGGAAGTTGCTCGTGTCGACCGTAAACCCCAAACCGGTAGGAAAGCGACACAGGGAGGTTTTGTCTCAATGATAAACCCAACATCGGACAATAGATCGACCGTTCTATAGAGATACAGCCACGCTGTGCGAATCTGTAAACCGTGAAATTATCCTGCCCGACGCGATTCATGAGATGCGATTTATGCAGATGATAACTGCCAACACGAATTGATACCGCGGATAATGCGAGAAGTAGAAGGATTAAAAGTTTCAATTTCACATTCATGTTGAATTGCACACGAACAAGCTGCTTCCCTTATATGGACGTATAAAAAGTCCTAGAGCGAATGACGGATGGATGCGTTTTATAATTACCAGGTGTCTGTAAGAAATTATATGACGTGACCGACAATGTATGATTACTTTTATACAATTTTATACTGAATATAAAGTGAATTCTGTAGGATAATTAATATTTTTGTTTATTTGGCTTCAGTTTGAAAAAACTTCAAATTGCAAATAAAGAAACTTTAAAAGAATTATATTGTTCTGAAGATAATAATAAATCATACAGAGACAGGTAACATTAAAAAATAATAAATTTTTATCTAAAATTTGCTATTTGAAAATAAAGTTTATCAAGAAACTTTATATTAAAAATTAAATAACGCGAAAAAATGGAGCAGACGAATATATAAATTTTCTATTTGAAAATAAAGTTTATCAAGAGACTTTATATTAAAAATTAAATAACGCGACAAAATGGAGCAGACGAATATATAAAATTTCTATCAATGGGAAATCAGCTTCAATATTTCATCGGGTTGTTTAAAAAAACTTTATATATCAAAGAAATATTATCCTTATTATCGAAGGAAATTCTTATGAACCATTATTTATTAAATTTCTATCAGTGAAAAATCAGCTTCAATTTCGTCGGATTGTTTAAAAAAACTTTATATATCAAAGAAATATCCTCATTATCGAGGGAAATTCTTATGAACCATTGTTTAAAAAGCTCAGTAGCATAAATTCACGTTAACCGAAAGACTCCTTGGCATCGCGAGAGAAGAGACCGGGTTGAAAATCAGCGGCTTGATCTCGCAACGCGTGATACAGCACCGTGACCGGACCGGGTTAACGTCCCTCGAGCTAAATCAAGGCTCCCTGATACTGATCGGTCGATTTACAGCCATTACATCGACGGTTGACGACGCAAGACAGGCAGTCAGGCGAACGATTATACGAGACCGGGCGATTGAAATTCGCTCGTGCGTCGAGAGGACGCAATTCACGACGCTCGTCAGCAATTTCGTTTGACGAAACCACTCTAACCCAGTTCTCTTATTTTAGATATGTGATATCTTTTCGTGACGGTTCAAGAATTGTCCCTTTATCGCCTATCTCGGCCGCCTTCGTGAATCCGCGATTGCGCAACGTCGGAGAGACGAGAGTACATTGTGACCGACAACACGATGGATCCACTCTGCGAGTATCCCCCTTCCCTTTTCTTTGTCCCGTCCCCCTCATCGGCGACCTTTTTCACCGTCTTCTCTTCCTCTCGTCTCTCTCGGCCTTCTTTTTCTTTACCGCCTCTCGCCCGCATCTCTTTTTCATCTTCGCCGTCAGATCCGAGGCCCTCGCTTAACCATCACGATGTCGCCGACGCTGACGTTAACTCTACGTGGGATGAGATATACGCTAATTCATTACTCGACATTTTTTCTGACCCCGTGGCACGCGCATTCGTGAGCATAATGCATAGCCAGCATCGAATGGCGAGATACTGGTGCGTTTGCCGATTTTAATCTGTTAACATGCCGAATTATTTGCGGGGAATTTATCGCGGATGTTTAAGGAATACACAAGAAATTTGCACGGAGTCCTCTAGATATGGAATTTTAATTTTACGAATTTTTATTTTAATTTTAATTTTATAACGTTGACTGTGATTCTTGTATAATACCTTATAGTCAAAAGTTTTGTAATCAGATTTAATCTTTATCATGGAAGATAAAATGAAGGAGACTTTTTCCATCTTCTTCGAGAATCACAAAAATTAAATAGGGATATTAAATATACTTGTTAATTTTTAATATATGATCCTCAGCCTAATTAAAATCAGATAATAAAGATTTACTTTTTGTTCCGACAATTTGATTTGCCAAAATAATATGAATAATATGAGAGAGAAAAATGAAAATAAAAATAATTGAAACAAATTATCTAAAAATACATGGGTTATTCTTCAAATTCTAAACTTCAATTAACAATTTAATTTTCTAAATTTTATAAATTGCACCGAAGTTTCAAGGAACCCCCATATTTGTGAAAAATCTTTAGAATAAAAGTGAAATTGCAGAAGGAAAGAATGATCGCGAACAGGTGGATGAGACGATGTTGTCTTATTTCGGTGCGCTTCCGCAAGGACTCCGATACTGAGTATATTAACAATAAACGAAGAAAAATCACTAGTTCCGAGCTCTCGAGCTCAATTGCCGACTATTTCCAGTAGTGACTAAGCCAGGTCGCGGCTCACGCGCGCGTGTGTACAAAGAGGGGGGAGCCGGAGGGGAAAGGGCGCGTATGTGGTAATAAAATTATAGCGAACGCAGTTACGGCGCCGTAGGCGGACGGGTCTACAAGAGACGACTGCCCTATTTCAGATCTAACACCTTTCTCGCTCCCGTCATCTGTGTGACTTCTTACCGGAAAAATCTAGGAAGGAGTAATCGCGTCAAGGAAGAAATGATTGATCCAGAATGCAATAGTAAATTGTATGCAGGAAGAGTATGACTGATGAATGAATTATCTAATCTTGCAAAAAATCTGCATAAAATGTCTAAAAAATTTCTAAGAAATGTTCCAAAGATGAGAATGTTTAAATTATGTGAATAGTTTCTCATGCATTTTACAGAAAGCTGTCGAAACAAGCAACACTTTGTTTACTTGCGGCATAATTTACTTATTTTGTAGGCATTGCAGTTGCGTGTGTATTGGAAGTCTGTCTACTAGTCTGCAGTCTACTGCAATAAGCGTTACGTAGATGGCATGCAATTGACGTTACTTTATAGGCAGAGGGTCCTGGGTGCTTCCTACTGTGCTATTTGGCTGCGGTTGAGCATTTCGAGGAACTAAGCCGAAGAAAAGCTGCGAAAAGGCGACGCGAATGCTGATGACAGAGGAAGCACTTGGGTGCTACTGTCGAAAGATACTTAAGCGATCTTGTAAAACACGCTTAATACAATAAATAAAAATCACAATTATCGAAATAATTTGAAATAATTTGTCTTTATTCGACTTGGAACAAAAATCAAAGATTTTCAGTCTTGCAAAATGAACGTTTCTGTAAAAAAATACAATTTTCTGAACAAATAACGCGTCTATTCAAAGTCTCTATTTAATCTAGCAAGAGCAACATTGTGATTTTAATTAACGATTCTACGGATATTTTTTTAGCGAATGATATTTTGCGAAAATATACGAATAACGAAAATTAATCGACTCTAAATTTATTTGGAAAGTGGATCTAATGTCTACATGTATCGTATTATTGCTTTTGAGGACAGAAAAAAAATCGAATATCAAGTTGCATAATCAAGTAACAGATAAACACATCCAGTTAATATCGGTTGTTTTGCCTTTCGTATTTTATTATCCCTCTTATATAGGCGTCGCGATGCAACGAGCGATCAAATACACAGTCCGAGTTAGCGAAATCCTGGTCACTGTTTTATTACATCCTCCGCGATCACCGCTATATTTGTCACATGCCTGGTAATTTTCCATAAAATGATTCTCTTATCGTCGAGCAGTAGTGTAACGTGCTTAAAATACAGACTCCGCCACTTACATGAAACCCCTCTCCCCCTTCCCACTCCCCGCGTCGCTTCTCCCCTTCATGACATTTCGCGTACGAACGAAACGCGATGCGTAACATTCTGTTTTTCAATCTCGAGAGCTCGTGTGCGCGGATTGTTTCGAAATTACTGCGAGAATAATTTGAATATTAATTTCGCAAAACGCACGATAATCATCCCTTTGATAACGGGAGAATTCAAATTCAACCTTTCGCCGAATCTCGCACTCTATCGAATATATATATATATATATATATATATATATATATATATATATAAAGTCCTTCTCTAAAAGGGATGATGCGTCAAAATCGCACATGATTGCAGCAAAACTTCAATCGCGATTTAGAGCTGGCTTTTTTTTCGTTTAAGGCGAAGGTGTCGCAGAGCGCACATGACACAAGGTGGGTGTCGCTAGAATGCATGCATCAAGCGTCGTATGAGGTGCACACGCGTGCACATCTGGCCGATGAATGGATCGACGAAACAAATCGCGAGCCAGTCGAACCGGTCGTGTCAACGGGATGTACCGCAAGATCGCGAATATACGCAAATTGACGTGAAAACACCGTCCCCCAAATTACATCCGCGATTCCCGACTTAATTACCTGTCACGATCGCGATCGATCAAGATATCGATCGAATAGGATTAATGTGTCATCGATAAAATGTGTCTTGGGATATTAATTAAAACGGTGTAATGTGCGCATTTCGGATACATGCGATTTTGCAAAAGAAATATTCGACTTTGAACGGAATTTAAAAAAATATATTTTTTTTAAATATGGATTAATATGACATGAAAAATACTCAAGTATCGAGCTAGGATTTTTTTTATAATTCCATGACCGTTCGCAAAAAATCAGTGTATACAAGTTTAATACGTACCCCACTAACTATCCCGGCCAGGCAAACTGCGGATGCGATGAATCTGAAAGCAGAAATGCGCAACATTTATATTTTAAAAAATTGCATGGATTAAGTAGATTAAAGAATAAAAGAATGAATCGAAAATGAAAAAAGTGTGAAAAAATAAAAATAAATCTTTCCTTAAAAAAAGAAAAAATTCCTCGATAGAATCTTGACAAACTATTATCATTAAATTAAAATATCAAAAATTAATTTTGCAGCATCACTTGGGAGAGAAAAATCATCCTACACATCACTGCAATTTTCGCGCGAGTCAACGTTGAGAGGTCAAAGTGCGGTGTACACGATTTCGCAAGGTGCTGCTTCTACCTCGCGGAGGATCAACGCTGTCATCGAGGCAAGGAACGGAGTAAATATTCATCGCTAAAATAAAAAAGGAGAAAAAAATCTCGGCATACACGCACGCCCGCACCCGCGCACGTACATTACCCGGATGAAAAAAATGCGGGCGAGAAGCGAGGAATCACACGGGTGGCACGATTTGCGGCTGCGTCGAGGCTCGACACCGGCAGGACGATCTCCTGCGCGCACGCGAGCTCGGCTCGTCTCGTTCGCACCGCTCGCGATCGTCCTTGACGTCCTCTCGTCTTTCCGCGGAAGCCCGCGCGCACCGGGGGTGAAACTATCCCCCTCCGGGCGACGAGCCAAGAAGAAAAACGGGCGACAGGCGAGAAGGATCCAGAAGAGGAAGAAGAAGAGGCAGGCGAAGGAGAAGACGAGGAGACCGAAGGCGCGACGGAATCTCGGCGAGGGAGAAAGAAAATAAAATCGGTAGAGCAAACTCACCGCAATCCCAACCGGGTCATGTCGACCTCCCTATTCCTCGACGGGTCTAGGGAGCCGAGTAGCACAGGCTTAAAGCACGAGCACCGCACAGACAGGCCAGTCACAAAATATCGCGCGGAACCGGGCACCGAGCGGACCGATGGTGTGTGCAGACCGTCCCATCCAGGGAGGGCTCTGAATGGACTCCGGGTGGAGGGAAGGAAGGAAGGTGGAGGCGGCCGTCGCGCCGAGCCACGCCAGCGCTAGAATTCCTCCGCCGAAAGGACCGGGCGAGAAGAAGAGAGAGCCTTCTCTCGAGCCTTCCGCGACGAGCGACGTCCGTTCGTTTTCCCCGACGTCGACGGGGGATCGTCCCCTCTTCTCTCTCCTTCTATCTCCCTGGTCTTTTCGTTCCTGCGAGAAGAGAGTGCGATCGGTTCGCTCCTGCTTCCCTGCCTCCAGCTAAACTCTGGACCCCGAGACGGGAAGAAGAGGAAGAAGTCGACGAAGAAGAAGAAGAGGAAGCTAAAGGTAAAGAGGACGCGAGAGGAAGGAGAGGAAGGAACGAACAGCCGAATCAACGGAGTCAACCCGTCTCTCGTCGGGGTTGGTAGGGGAACGAAGAAGAAACGACCGAAGAGAGAAGAGAAACAGGAGGAGGAAGAGAAGGAGGTGGTAAAGCGCCGCTGGCCGAGCTCTCCGCTCGCTCGCTCGCGCGGTCGCGCGTCGCACGAGGACTGTTGCGCGGCCGCGAGGGACCCTACCGGTGTCGGTCGCGCCGGTTTCGAGCCGCCAAGCCAAGCCGAGCCGAGCCAGCCCGAGCTTTACGGAGCTCGATCGTGTCGCGGGGCAGAGCGGGGCCCGCTTGTCCCAGGGAGTCCGCGCCACCGCCGAGTGTCCGACGAGCGCGCAAGGATACAGGCACTTGGGACAGAGAGAGAGGAAGAGGGCGAGCGAGGAGGAGGGAGGAACGGGGAGAGGAAGAGGAAGCGGAGAGGAAGAGAGACGGAGCGTTTGCCTCCTCCGCCGCTTTCAGGCCTGCCTCGTGTCCGTCTGTCTGTAGCGCCGAGCGATCAGGAGGACGGGCCAACCGGGGGCCGTCTGTCTGGCCCTTCGACACGCGGTGCGTCGACAGGCCGGCCGACGACGACGACGACGACGAAGACGAAGACGAGCTTAGCGGCGCGGGAGACTGTCGTGTGCTGAGCCGCACGTTGCCTCTCCCTCGGGGACCGCGAGAGACCACCGGGCGCAGGGATCAGGAGCGCGGATTAGGTGAGGCAAAAATACCTCGGGATCGTCCGCAGGACTTCAAGGTTGCCGCGGACTACATAGGCAGAGAGGAGGAGGAGGTGGTGGTAGAGGAGGACCCTAGGCCGACACGATGCGGCCCAGGGCCCCGACAACGTCAACAAACACCGGCGACGAGGACCGCGGCATCTCGCGGCTGGTCTCCCCGCTCGTCCTGCGAATCACCTGCGTCCTTGCCCTACTGGTGCTCGCCGCCACATGGATACCGGTCGCCGAGGCTGTGGTGAGTGCGAAATACCCTTGAGATGTATCGCGTGCCGGGCGATGTTTCGTGGTGCGGATCCTTTTGTCTTCGCCGATCGCTCGAAACCAATCCGATGATCCCTGGCATTAATGAGGGATGCTTTAATGGTGTTCCGCGAATACTAGAGAAAGATGTAGATCAAAGGTCGATCGAGTCAGGTGGATTCCGTCGGAAAGATTTGACGATGGTGGGGAACGGTAGAAATGTCAGTTCAAAATCCACGTGAATCGGAGAACCGAAAATTGAGTGCGCATCATGTTAGGTATAAATCGTTGTAATGAATCTTTACGCGGCGAATTCTTACGTCTCGATCGGATTACATCGGATTTCGGAGCCGTCGATATTGCGATCGTAGCCGACAGGAATTTGAGAATCGTGGGTTGTGATTGCGTAATCAATTGAAAATAGCCGTCTCTCTTGCTAATTACCTTTTCATATGCGCGTATTTTTTGACGTACATTTAATGCAGAAACTAATATTTTTAAATTTAATAGTTTCTTTAGAGATGACATGTTTTATTATTTTTTATTTTATTATTTTGAATACTTTTCCTGAAAAATTATAAGTTTTTCAGTGCGATACATTAATTTCTGCAAAATGGTTATCGCGATTTCGATTATTTTCTGCATTTCTCATTCGGCCATGTTGGAATCGCCATTTTGGATTCTGATATCAAAGTCGACAACTTTTAAATCCTTTAAACATCAAGTTTGATAAAAATTACTTCAAATTTAATTTCTTTTTTTAATAGCTTATTATTTTTCTTAAAAGATATATATTTTACTTAAGACTTTAGATAAATCAGATAGATTATTAAATAATAATCAGCAGCTTTTATTAATTTATATTCCATAGTTTTTTTTACCATCTCGAAAAATGAATCAAGCACAAAAATCAGCTGTCACTATCATACATATAGAAAACATGATAAATCTCTGTAGAAATCATTTCTATATAGAAACATTTATTTTTATCAAATTTCATTTATGATTTATTTATAGTGGTATTTGTAGTGGTCTATTTATTTGATAGATCGTGACATATAGTGCCATTTGAGATATAACATCAAAATTGCTTCATTTACTTTCAAATTGATTCTTTTTTCTTTTTCAACGAGCAAATGACTACATGATTTAACACTAAAACGGCTTAAAAAATAATTTTCTAAAATTATATTAACACATTATTTCTATTTTTTTATAATATATATTTATAATATATCAATGTATGAGATTTTATGAAATTTTGCTAAAATATAACTATATTCATCATACATTGAATTTTCTAAATTTGTTTTACACATATAAAAAAATTGGGAAATATAATTAAAGAATTAATCTCTCTCTCTCTCTCTCTCTCAAACGCACACAAAATATCTATTATAAAATCTTTGTTTATATTTTCAAGCACATTACATGTAATTAATTTTTCCATGTTTTTCAGTACCAAATTTTTCACTAACTGCAAGTCGATTTTCTTGTTACTTTCCTTCATTCATAAAATAGGACACTATTATTCTACTTGATAATCAACTCTCGGCCGTTTCAGTGTTAACGAATGTAGGTGTGTTTTGCTAACCTAACGGATGACTATGCCCGAGAAATAGTCTAATATCGTATCATATCTGGGACAACTTCTGTCGCTCTTAGGTAAGCTCTATGTATGAGTATAATTCCAGTCTTTCAAACAATGCGTGGGAACGCATTGTCGACGAGTGCTTTAAATGCCGATATCGTTGGTATGTTTGTATACCACGATGTAAATAAAAATATTCATCAAAATAAGATAAGAAATAGAAACTAGAAAAAATACATACGTGATTACGTATACGTTATGTAAAATGTATGCCATTTTGTTATCTTAACAAAGTATTGATGAGACAGTTACTTTCTATTTCTAAATGCGTCGTTACACACTTGATACATATTGTATGTGCTTAATAGAGCGAAAAAGATGGCATTCAAATTTCTTTTCATATCTAAAGGCGTTATTGAATTGCACTGTGTCACCTATAAGGTGATTCGAAATGTGTAGCTCATAATACATACAGCTAAAATATCAAAAAAGTAGATTACAAAAAATTACTTTACTACACATATAATAGAAAAATAAATTTTTATTAACTTTTATCTTTTTCAATATTAGCTTCAATATTGACAATTTGCAATTTTAATTAAATATTGATAAGAGAAGCATATTTGTTTTATAATATATGAAAATAATATATATATTGAGACAAAAAAAATAGTATCAATATTTTCGAACATAGTTTGCAATGAAATAGAGCTATAATCTTTTTTTTATACGTGTAATATTTTTTTTATACACGTATTATTTATCTACGTAAAAGATATGTCTATAAAAAATTTGATGAAAAATCATGACTCGAATCGAAACAAATCAATTTCACGGATTTCACCCACTCCGTGGGTGGTAAATGACGAATGCAGCGTGATTCCGCCCTATGAAGTACAACGTGCATTTAACTAGTACAAAATTTTGTGATATATAAACCGGTTTGTGTAGTGATCGGAGAGAAGATCGAGCAATGTGTAACGGATGATTAAATCGGGCGTGAAGCCGATAGTAATGCAAGAGCCCCACGTAGAAAGCGTTCATCAGCATGACTTTGAGTGCGTCGTGTAATCCGAGAGCCTGAAATTGCGGCTATTTGACATAATCTCGTTGCAAAACGAGACATTACAGTATCTCGGTTAATCGATGACGAGGCATGTATACTTGCACGCTGACCGCAGGGTAACGCTTTTCCATTCTGGCTATGCAAATTTGTGTGATATCGTGTATGTGATTAACATCCTTCAAGCTATAAAATTCGAGGCTGGCATTTTAAGCAATTATTTTTCGACGGAAGAACTAAATACATAATTAAAAATAATGAATATGTAGTTTATTAATGAATTTTCTGAGAAATATTTTCTCAAGAAAATTGATATTTTATTGAATTACACGCTGGTAATATAAATATAATTATTATTTACAATACAATTACATACAATAAGAGAATAATAGTTTACTCAAATTTTATATCTGTGATTGCGAACAATCTTTTTCTCTCTGCAATACATTTTTATATCATATAGTAATAAATTATTTTTTTAAAAATATTTAGTAATAATCCACATATAATTTATACAATTTATACAAGATAAGATTTTTTTGCCACACTACTTGGACGGTATCGTTAAAGTCACCCGGTAGACAAGTACGTGGGCGATTTCGACGCCCGAACAGAGGACGCATTTGTTGCGGAAAACATGAAAGAAAATATTCGGCACAAAAGGGGAGGGAGAGAAAGATAGGGGCGAAATGCCAGTGCCCGGTAGTCGGAGAGGGATCGCATTTTTATGTGCCTTTTTTGATCCCCTCGGACGGGTCACTCGCCATTATGCCAAAGTCATTCAGAATCGTGAGAATCCGCTTCCTAGCGAAAGTTGAATCGCCTCCCGATGAATCCAACTAATATATCACGAAGAAATATTACGCAGACTAACAAACCGTGTAACGTTTGGAGATTATATTTTTCCAAAGATTTTCTATAACTAAATAATTCGCTTGTAAAATTTATAAAATTTTTTTAACAAGTAAAAATCATTATACGTATGTGCATATGTAGGAGACATCTGAATTACGCCCATACGAATTACTCAATACTGTCTTTCGTTTTGTATTTTTTCAAACTTTGAATGAACTTTTATATGGAAATGTAGTAATAATACGATATATTATTTTAATCTCTAACACCTCCAAACTATACTTGTAACAGTTATTTATTTTCGAGACGATGTAAGAGCTCAGTTAAAGATTTGTTTGCGTAGGTTTTTATTACTAAATTATTCAGCAATATTGTTATGCTTTATTTAAGCTTTTCTTCCTGATGTTTATGGAATTATTTAAATTTATTTTACGAGCCATAAAAATAAAGTTAAAACAATATATTAATAGTAAAAAATAAAGAAAGATTGAAAACAAGTATGTAAAGTATTGGGTAGTTTATGTAACAAAAAAATAGGCAGTAAAATATATATATGTATGTACAGAAATATCTCAATTTTATCAACTAAAAAAATTAATTTAAAAAAATAAACCAAGAGATAGCTAATTTTATCCATATATAATATTAATATAAAATAAAAAAGAAATTGCATAACTTTAGAAATATCTAACAGTGATAAAGATATTTTTGTAATTGAGAATATGATAAAATAATTTACCGAAATATAATATATAGATTGGTGAAGAACTGTAGGAAAAGAGTCTGCGGTTGTTGCGATAACGATAAAGCTTTCCTGTTGTCTTTCAAAAAAGATAATTATTGCGGGATGAGGCTGTAGCTCCATTCAATTGCTCGTTTTGCAGACGAAATATGACCAAGCACCAGATGGTCGAATATCTATCCTATTTATAAATTGTATGTTTTACATGTTTGTGGGATATCTATTTTTATAAATAGTTTCTCATAAGTTAAAATTAACAATCAGAAGAATTTTATAATGAAATGATTTATATTTTTTTTAAAGAGAGAGAGAGAGCCGCAGAATATTTAATATATATTTGATATGTATTTTTTTCACTTAAATCTATTATCAAAAATTTTCAGAATAATAATTAAATCTTTATAATATCGTTAATATGTATTATTTCTTAAAGTCAAGTTTTTTTATAGATGTTTATTTTATGATATTCGATTGGATATAATGAATAGTTATTAAAGAACGAAATTAATGTGAGAAATGTGAATTTAATCGATAAGAAAAGAATATATAGGCTTTTGTGGCTGATTCTTGTACCATAAACTTACACCCACTGCGTCGATTCAATATTTCGAAATATAATATATCGCTACGCGTGGTTTCCCGAAATATGTTCATTCAAGCTTCACAACCGCGAAATATGTAAAACAATTCCACCTACGCGCTTACGAACGGAAGATATGAAATTCTATTTTAGGCTTTCATAGA